TAAAAAATAGGCAAAATAGCACGAAGTTTTAAATCTCTGTTACAAATAGGTTCAACAGAAAATGTGATTCCGTCTGTCTTTCTGTTTAACCTGACACCGAAAGCAGCTGAGTGAGTTTGCTTTCTGAACCCTCCAACATTGCTTATTTACTTATGAACTACCTCACTCGCGCTGCAAGTACTAGACAGTAAACTCGCATGCGTGATTGTCCCTTTTGTTAACAATCCAGAGAATCAGAGTGGAGTTGAGCAGGCATTTCTGCCTTCTCTCGCGCCCTCTGGTGGTTGGGAGCTGCAATTACTCCAGAGCAGTTGAGGAAGCTTTATCTGCTTACAAGGTAAGGTACCCGGGAGCTTAAACAGAGCTGGTCCTCCTCAAATGCCAACCTACTCAGTGTCATGTCAGAACTGTGATGAATTTCACAGCCATTGTCCCTGGTCTTTCTACCCGTATAACCTGTAAAAGATATTTTGTCTACTGTGTGTTTCTAAAAAGATTGCTTGTTCTCCCTTCCTATTTTTGGAGTTCTCTGAGACCCCACATCTCTACGCATCATGGCTATCCCAACAATACTCATAGCCCAACACTATTGAGCCTATTATTCTCTGGGGCAAAACGTGCATGTCAAACAACCTCCGCTTTGCAGATAGGCGAATGGAGGACAGGGTAAAGGAAGTGGCTTCCCCCAGGTCACACACCAGGGCAAACCTGAACTTGGCAGGCACGTCTTTTGGCATTCCTAGGTCTTTCCATTTTCCTGTCTCTGGGTGTCTATGGCCCTGATGCTCTGACAGCCTGTCATGTGGCTTTAACTCGGGTGCTTGATGAAAAAGGACCCACCCTACTGACCTTATGAACACTTAGGGAAAGACAGGAGACAGACAAACACCCGCCCCCCCACACACACACACAGGGAGAGAGAGAGAGAGAGAGAGAGAGAGAGAGAGAGAGAGAGAGAGAGAGAGAGAGAGAGAGAGGAAAACCTTGTAGTCCAGGAAAACCTTGAACCTCTGCTCCTTCTATCTCCACCTCTGGGATTACAGGTGTGTCTCTATGCTTAGTGTGTGTGTGTGTGTGTGTGTGTGTGTAGTGAAACTAGAGATTCTGCTAACTCCAGCCCCACTCATTTTGGAAAATCTCTATTGCTCGACACAGAGTGTGTCGTTAACAAGATAATCCCTTGGCAAGACTGACGGAAAGGTCTTAAATTTGGAGAAATTCTGTCTGAGCTGTTGGTGGCTCTGGAATGGCAGAGGTTGCTCCCCTACACCCTCACCGTGCAGACAGGCTCATGCTCCCTTTGCTCCCAACTCTCTCATGGGTGAGGTTTTAGTCCCAAGGTCAGCTTGAAAGTGATAACAGAAACAGACTCAACATGGGCATCGGTGTGCGCTACAATGTAGAACTATGGCTAAAAGGGCGATGAGGGGTTGCTGACTCTAAAGACTGATGACACCAGCTGAGCAAAGTCTGGAACTGTGCCCCAGCCCTGGACAGTGATGAACACACATCCACAGTGAGACTGGTTAAAAAAAAAATGATCAAATTCTTGTTTCTAACAGAAAAAACTGGAAGCAAGCGTAACCTGTTTACAAGCAGGATGTGGCTTCATCCAGTCTACTGGAATAGTGGCATGTGACTGTGGTATTCATTTTATTTTCCATTTATCCCAAAAAGGACACCAAGGACAGTCAGGAACGATTTTACTAACGTCCAACGTGGTGGGGCTAAGAGTTTATTGGGGGAGGAGGGGTGTTTACAGAACACAGGTGAAGAGCTCCTTGCAGGAGTTGGGTGACTCCCGGACGGCTGCACCACCACAGAGACAAACCCCATCATGGGTGCTGACTTCATGAACTTCCATTCTGGGGTCTTTCTCGAGACTAACCTTTCACTCTGAATGTAGTCTAGGCTCTCTTAAGGGCCTTTGCAGCTGGGGTCAGCAAGGGGGTGACTTTGAAAACATCTGTTAGGGAGCGTTAATAGCTCCACTGATGCTGCCTTTACCATCAACCTGGCAACAACTGCACTGCTGTGTTCTAGTTGTCATGGCTACCAGCAACATCCAAGATGGCATCATGTTATCCCTGAGGAGGAGACAGCGCCGTAGAACAGCTACCCAGAAAGAAACATTCCGGACTGCCTGACTCCCGTCCCGTGTCACAGGGTACAGCTCTAGGGGCACAAAAAAAAAAAAAAAAAAAAAAAAAAAAAAACTCTTGCTAGGCAAACATGGGCCTAAGACATATTTTTAAGTCCATGTACCTTAAAATGATTTTATTACATTTATTTATTTATTGGAAGGGGTGGGCGGGTGTGTAGTGGCCAGATGCGAAGGTCAGAGAACAACTTTGAGTCTCCTTCTAGCATGTGGGGTCCTGATGCTCAAACTTGAGTTGCCAAGTTTGGTGTCAAGTGCCTTTGCATGTAGATCCTCTGAACAGCCCCTGCATGTTTTTCGTTGCTGTTGTTTTTTGAGACAGGGTTGCTGTGTGTAGCCCTGGTTGTCCTAGAGCTCAATATGTAGACCAGGCTGGCCTCAAATTCACAGGGATCTTTCTTTCTCTGCCTCCCTAGTGCTGGGACTAAAGGCTTCCTGGCTATGTATTTTTGTGTGTTTGCTTGTGTTTGGGATGAAGAAAATAACCCACAAAGTGCACTAGATCCATGGAATTGATTCCACAGCCCCATAATCAGCATTGGATATTAAATACATGAACTAGATAAAGCAAAGCAAAACCCCCAAACCGGAGACTCCCTGCAATTCTCGAGCAAGCAAAACTAGTCATATCGGGAAGCTCTGTGCTTCCACTGGGGGAGAGATCACCAAAGCAGACGCAGAAAGGCTTCTGGGGCAGCGGCATTCCAGAGCCAGTGTTGGGCTGTGTGCCTGGCCGTGATATACGATAATCTAGAATCGTGACCCGAAGCTTTAGGATCGGACATTTTATTTTATGTACATTACATCACAGTTCTGTATGACTCTCCAGGAAGGTAATGGCCGAGCCTCTGACAGCCTGGCACTGTGACAGCTCAGTGGGATGTGCTCCTTGTTGCCATGGGTTTTAAACTTAAGTAGCGGGTCCACCTGGAGTGAGTAGAAAAAGGAATTTATAATCACAATAATAGGAAGTCCTCAGGACAGGCTCTGACAAGAGGCACTAGTTAAAGCAGGCAAACCAGGGCAGGGGCTCACAAGACACAATCCCTAACCCTAAACACTCCCTGCCCTCGCCTAGCTGGTTCCACCCCTGGGTTTATATTGCTTTACCAAAGTGAAAAATCCTGTGTGGGTGGAAGCATTTGATTGGCTAAGCCTAGGCCAGGCCTCCACCTAATAAGCAGGTAGGGACAAGGTACATTTCATTAGACTTCTAGATTGAGGGAGCTGTGACAACTGGTCCCCCAAAGTATAATTTCAATCCTGCACTGGAAGGCCCTGTCTCGCCTCATGTGCTCAGTCAAGTGCTTGTCTAGCATGCATGGGGCCCTGGGTTCCATCATGCTCCTGGGATATAATATGCCCACAGCATAATCCATCTTTGCTCAGAGTCATCACATTCTTGGGTGTTCTGGGAGATGGCTCCGTGGGTAAGTGTGCTTGGCACCAAGTCTGAGGACCTGAGCTTGATCATGGAAGGAGAAAACAGAACCCTCCAATGTGCCCTCTGACCTTGATACACCCGCCGTGATACCTGCACACAGACAGACACACACATACAGATAAATGTACACAGACAGACACACACAGACAGATAAATGTACACAGACAGACAGACACATACAGATAAATGTACACAGACAGACAGACACATACAGGTAAATGTACACAGACAGACACACACATACAGATAAATGTACACAGACACACACATACAGATAAATGTACACAGACAGACAACACATACAGATAAATGTACACAGACAGACAGACACACACATACAGGTAAATGCACACAGACAGACACACACAGACAGGTAAATGCAATTGAAATTATAAATGAGAATCACAGACTTCTAATCCCTGTGCATCCACAATCCCGGGCAGGCCCATTGTGGATAGCTGTGTTCTAACCATTGATCCTGGATTGGTGATGGAACTCCAGGATCAGGTTTGGAAACCTTTCACTTTTCCTCAACCATCCAGAAGGGGACCAGAACCTGGGCAGGGAGAGCAGTTTGAAAACTTGTCAGAGTCAGCCAGACTTGAGAGAAGAGGGTATGTATGAGTCCTTAAAGAGGCAAGAAGTAGTTTTGTTTTTCAGGGTGCTTTGGATGGAGCTAGGCTTTTTTTTTTTTTTTTTTTTTTTTTTTTTTTTTTGACAGTTTTGTATCTTTATATGTTTTGATCTTACCCGACACCACCCTCTCCCATATCTGCTGAGAGCTTCCTTCCAACAAGTCCTCCAAGCTCTTCAGACAGGAGCTCATACATCCCAGGGTGTCCTAGAATTCAGAATGCAATGTTTCCAAGGAGGATGATCCCCCTGCCTCTTTCTGCTGGTATTATTACATTCCTGTACCACCACATCCTATTTACCCAATGCTGAGGATGGAACCCAGGGCTCCGTGCGCGCCAGGGAAGCATTCACCTAACTTAGTGAGCTACATGCTATATCCCCAGCCTGAGAAGGGGCGTTTTCTAAACATGGGGTGAGATGATAATGCCTTTCAAATGCAAGATTGAAATTAAACTTTGGGGGATCAAGGGATGCCTTTAGCTGAAACCTGAAGGCTGTGGCCTCAGGTGGTTAGGGAATCAGGGAATCGTACTGGGAGGGTTTGGGGCGGGAAGATCTGGGGTGGGGTGAAGCACGCAGCCAGGGCAGCTCAGGGCCTGGGTGCAGCTCCCGCGCAGGGGCGGGTCCCGCGCTCCGCTCCGGCCCTCGCTGGGGCGGGGCCGCGAGCGCGCGGTCACCCGGAAGACACGGCGGGCGGCGGGTAGGCTTTGCTTGGTCTTCTCCGGGGATCCCGGCCGGCCGGGAGGGGAGACTGCCTGCGGAGCCGGGGCGCAGGTGGAGAGAGATGCCTGGCCTCTCGGCGCTAGGCGCGGTGGCAGCCGCGCTGGTAGCATCGATGCTCCTGCTGCAGCGTGGGGATGAGGGGTCCGGGGCTGGCCCTAGGTAACCCCGGGAGGGGGACGAAGCCGGGCTCTGCAGCCATGCCCAGTCGGGCCGGGTTACCGTGGGGTAGGGACACCTGTGCCATTCAGCTGGGCACGTTTGAGGTGGCAGGATCGGCCTTGGTCCCGAGCCTCGCTGTGACTCAGCATTTCCCCTGGGCTGGGACTGTGTAGGTAGAGTTTTCCTCCGTTCAGATCAACCACCCTTGTTCTCCAGGGTGCAGACTGTCGCCTAGCCCTCTGAGACAGGACCTGTGGGTGTTGTTTCCCCAGCATGGCGGACAAGGGGGCCCTGCCGAAGCTTCGGGAAGACTTCAGGATGCAGAATAAATCCGTCTTTATTTTGGGCGCCAGCGGGGAAACCGGTAGAGTACTTTTGAAAGAAATCCTGGGACAGAACCTGTTTTCCAAAGTCACGCTCATTGGACGGAGGAGGCTCACCTTTGAGGAGGAAGCTTATAAAGACGTGGTGGGTATTTGAGCTGGGGCTAAAAGAAAAAAAAAATGTAGCCCTAATCGTTCTGCTCAGGGGAAGGTGTTCGTATCCAAGGGCTGACCCTTGCCTGGTGGTGGCGAACACTGAGATTGCTCTAGAAGATCCTTTCTGGCAAGCCTGGGTTTTACCCTTTAGCGTCCTGCAATGCTGTTCCAGGGCTCTGAAATCCGGATTGGAATGGGGAATGGCGGTCAGAGAAAGCCGCTGTTTGTAGTTCCTAGAGCACACGGCTTGCTCATTGTGTCCGTCTACCTGTGCGCTTCACACTGTCAGCGTGGTAAAGTGTGACAAAGACAGGTGGAAGTTTCTCCCAAGCAGGAATCCGCCCTGCTTCACCTCCCAGGCTTGTGTCCATACCTGCAATATTGCCTCCCTTGTAAGCTACACTTCCCTGTTAAGTAAACGGGGCCGCCAGCTTCCATCTGGTAATAACGCCTAAGTATCTGAAGTTGGAGCTTCCCTGTACAATTTTGTTCGAGTTATCTGTCAACTGCAGCCAATTAAACAGTGTAGTGTGTGGTTGGGACCACAATCCAGCCCCTTGGGTCCCACAGGGGAACGTTTTGATTGGTGGGCGCACTTGCAAATCCGTGTTCTTGATTCCTGGGGTTACTTGGTCGTTCATTTTACAAATGCCTGGTGCATCGGACGGAACTTGCTGGTTTAAAAAAACGCCTCTCTCCTTGGGGTCAGGTGGGTGCCGAGCGGACTCCGTGGCCTAGTTTCCTGAGCCCTGGGGAGGTCCTAGCAAATGGAGCCTAAGGTTGCAATTTTCTTTGACAATAAAGTCTTGGTGGCACATCTCTTAAGCAGGCTTTATTTGTTTGTTTTGTTTTTTTCTCTAGTGTAGTATACACTGTGCCAGGAAAATCCCTCTGAAGGAACTGAAGATAGTGACAGCCCCAGGATTTCATTTGAACTCCTGGGTGACAGAGCACTGCTTTTTTTGATGACAAGCCTATCCTCTTAGATACAGGATGCTTATGTTTGAGACGGTGTTCCTCTAGCTAGTATAGGCTGGCCTTGAACTCAGTTCCCCTGCCTCTTCACTCTGCCAGTGCTGGGCTTAACAGGCAGAGCCCACCACTCTTAGTTTGCCTAGCAATTTCAGAGTAGATTAGAAAGACCATGGAGGAAAACAATACCAGGTCAGGGATCTAGCTGGGCTGCTAGAGTGCTTGCTTTAGGTCGCCCAAGGCCCCTGGTGGAGCAAACCTGGAATTGTAACAGTTGGGAGGTAGAGGCCAGAGGATCAAAAGTTCAAGGTCAGCCTCAGTTAAGTAGGAAGTTTGAGGCCAGCCTAGCCTGGAGAGGGAGGAAGGGAAGGAGAGGCCAAAAAAAAAAAAAAAACGCTAGAGAAACAGATACTGATGTGGGAGGTGTACCAACTACAGAGGCTGACTCACAGGTGTTGGGACAAGTCCCAGGAGAATGCCTTCGTCTCAGGTTCTTTCTGGCTAGTTCTAACGAAGGTAGATGAGGAATTGAAATGAAGGCACGATTATCAACCAGACACTACAGCTGAACAAAACTGCCGCATACACACATGGTCAGCAACTCAGCCACGGGTTTGGAGGCACAGCTCTGAAGTTAAGAGCACTGGCCGCTCTTCCAGAGGACCCGGGGTTAGATCCCCACCATGCACATAGTGGTTCGTAGCCATCTGTTGACTCCAGTTCCAGGGGACCCTCTTCTGCGCCTCTTGACTCTACCTACACACATGTGGTGCACAGACAAGGATGCAGGCTAAGTACCCATATGCATAAAATCAATTTTTAAAAAATTTAGTTAAAAAATAAGACCTTGGCCATAGTCGTATGTCCGTGGATACCAGGTCTAAGATTTGAACCTGACTCTTCTTTGAGATTCTGCTTATTGTCTGTGTCCACATCCTACCTGAATGGCTTCCTTCCTGGTAAAGTATAGATTGGCTTTTTTGTTTGTTTTCTCAGAAGTAAGGTACATATGAACTTGATATTTGAAATCTGGCTCACTCTACTGCAGTTACGTGTTCTGTGAACATACATGTGTATCCCTGGTTAATTTTTTTTTTCATGGCTGGGCATACAACTCAGGGCCTTGTGAGCACTTGACCCCTGAGACCCAGCTCTGGGTTGTTGGTGGGAAAAAGGGAATTCGGCAGATTTGATGTTATGGATTTAGACCTTTTGATAATCATTTGTCATTGTTGTTTACATCTTGAGGGGTGCTTTCCCCCTTCCTAGTGCGTATGGGATTACTACACGCCACTGTGCTCTCCCTTTTCTAGAATCAGGAAGTTGTGGACTTTGAGAAGCTGGATGAGTACGCGTCTGCCTTTCAAGGTCACGATGTCGGATTCTGTTGCCTGGGCACCACCAGGAAGAAGGCCGGAGCGGTGAGCAAGAAATGCCCTTGTCTCTTCTCACTGGCCAGTGCTGTCAAGGATCTTCTCCTTCCTCTCTTTCAAAGATTTATTTTATTTCTCTTACGTGTTTGTGTGTGTGTTGGGGGGGGGGTATGGCCCCAAGTGACTTCAGGGGCCTGCAGAGTCCGGAAGAGGGTGTTTGTGAGCTACCTGGCATGGGTACTGGGAACTGACTTTGAGGGCCTAACTGCTGAACCGTCTTTGCAGTCTGGAAGATTCCTTTCCTTGCTTACTCTTTTTCTTGGGTCATACTGCCTTGCTGAAACATAGAATGTGTTTAAGATTCCATCTGCTGCCCCATCTGTATTTTATACACGGACACTGCAGATAAGGTCATCTTCAGAATAACCTCTGAGTTCAGACCGGAACCCCAGTTACATCACTGACAGTTACACGATCGTGCCTACAACCATCACGACAAGCCCTGACTAAGGGGAGCAGCCCACAGTCTCCGGGCTAAAGTAGTCTGCTCATGCTGTGGGTGGTAAGCTTTCTGTTTCTTTCCATAATGAGTGTTTTAGGCTTGAAGCATTTCGTCTCAGTCATTTGCTTCAACCTGCTTGCAAGCCATCCTTTAAACTTGGGAGCTGGATCATCAGAACCCAGAGGCACGATTCAGTCAGCCCCCATGATGACTGAGCTGTCAGCAGTGATTCAGGCCAGGGATGACTCAGCCCTCACTGACGCAAAACTGCTTTGATATACATTTTATGTTCTCGTTAATGGTGTGCTAAATGTGCTAAATTGAGTCAGCCCCTATCCAGGAGTTGTAGTTTACGGCATAGTTAAAAGTCAAGGTTTGTAATACAGATCCTGGGCAAACAGTTCTATCTTATTCAGTTCAGATCCTGAGTGTTGTTTATTCCTCTGACAGGATTTGCTTGCTGGAGTCCACATATCTATTAAATATGAAGGAGATTGGTTCTGCCATAATGATTGTGTTAGCTACTTTTTCATCACTGTAACAAAAGCAACTTGAGGCAGGGGAGGTTTGTTTTGTCACGGTGTGAGTGAGGGCTCAGTCCATCTTGAGTTTGCTTCCATCCAGGGCAGGTCAAGTTGACAAAAATTAACCCTTATAGTGATTCACACTAGCTCTTTGTTTTTTAAGATTTCTAGTGTGTGTGTGTGTGTGTGTGTGTGTGTGTGCGTGTGTTACCGGTACCCATGGAGGCCAGGGGTATGGATCTGCCTGGAACCGGAGGCAGTTGTTAGATTGTGGTGGATGTGCTGGGGAATTGAACTCAGGACCTCTGAAAATGCGGTACCAGCTCCGTGCCATCTCACCAGCCCCACTTACAGCAGTATTTTTAAACCAGCAGGCTGGTGTGATTTGAACTGCCGTTTCTATGAGCAGAACTAGTGGTGTCTCGGTTGTGTCTCTCTGGACTTCTTGGTGCTCCAGCGGTAATTCTGGAAGTGGTTTCCGTTGAGACGGACATCTGTGTCCTGTGCAGTTTTGCCTTTCTCACCCTGGGAGCTCAGGGCTGGGGACTGGGTTGCAGAGAAGTTCTGCCTTCCCAGGGATTGCCTTTCTTCCTCTAGGAGGGGTCAGGTCCCTGCTCAGCTAGGGTCCGCCCTGGGTCAGGCGGAAGGAGCATCCTCCAAAAGCAAAAACAACGAAGAGCTTTCATGTCCTGCACACTGCAGCTTTCAGCTTCAGGCTCAAGCCTGGCTTCGGCAATGACTCAGCAAAGTGAACTGCTGTGTTAAGCATAGAACAATGCAAAAAAAAAAAAAAAAAAAAAAAAAAAAAAAAATAGTGTGTTGAGGGGGAAATGCTAAATGTCACATTGAAGCTGTCATTCTCATCAGAGGAAACCGGTTTTTTTAAATCTGAGCATGCCCCACCTCGTAAGCCACTCAGTGCCTTTTGTCTGTCTTTAAAATGGGTTTGAAAAGATAAGGGTGATTAATGAACACAAAAGGGCAGACAGCAGCCAGGTAAATGCTCTCAGAAATGTGTTAGTAGGCAAGGGACTAAGAGGCCGGAGGTGAGCTGATGCTGCCTTAGAAGTGTATTTCCCAAACACTGTAGTTCCCATAGCCTTGCTTGAGTTAGCCGCATGGGCCAAGTGAAGGCTGAGACATCCTTGGGAACCAGATGTACCTTGAAGGGCAAAAGTCAAAGACACCGCTGGGCAGTGATGCAGTTTCCTTGTGTGCAGTTTGAGAAGGCTTTGGGTAGTGAGTGCCTAGTCTCTCCCCTTCACGTCTCCCGTTCACAGGGAACTCTAGCAGCCCAGGTGTGTGGATACCGCCAAACGCTTGACGCTGTAGAAGTGAGTAGCGCAGCCACTGCACTATTTATTAGACATCTGCAGAGCCTTGTGGCTTCCGGTTGCTGTAATACACTCCGATAATCCAGCCTGGGAGTTGAGTGCCACTTGGCATCAATTTTTTGTATGGCATATGACCATGGCTGAAATTTTTATACCCCGTGAAAACGTAGTAAGTTCAAGTTTTGGTATCCATAAATAAAGCTTGGTGAGAGCTTAGCCAGATTCATTACATTTCATATCATGTATGGCCGCCTTTGTGCAGTAATGGCAGCTCTGTGTGGGTGTTAACAGGCCTCCACAGCCTCTCCCGATCCTTTCCAGGGTAAGATGCCCAGCCCTGTTCTGGGCCCCACTGAGTGGGATAGCAGCAGTAACCGTGTAGCCTTGAGTGTGTAGGTTAGTGTCTGTTGAGTACTCCTGCTTGTCTAGCAACGAACTCCCTCCCACCTGCAGAATTCTTGACTGCAAGGCTGAGGAAAGACTGAACTGAGCAGCACGATGAACTCACGGATCCTCGGTCGCAGTTTGGCTTGGGTTTCCGCCGTCTCTCATTTCTCTACATGGGATAGAGTTGCCATCCAGGACACACATGGGGTGTCAGGTGATACTGTGCGTCTGTCAGCATCTGTTTTCCACTCTGCTTTAGGGTTGAACTGAAAAGAGATAAAGGAAAGAGAACCCCAAACAGAACCACAGCTCAGACCCTTTACATTCCCTCCTCAGGAAGGGCCCGGAGACCGTTGGTTGTTCTAGAATGTTCTCTCTTGTATTAGTTACCTTTCTGTTCTTGCTCTATGACCAAGGCAACTTACAGAAGGGTTTATTTGGGCTTAGGGTTCCAGAGGGCCTCAGTGGCAGGCTTGGCCGCTGGAGCAGCAAGCTGGGGGCTCGGGCTTTGAACCACAAGCAGCAAGCAGGGAGCCCACTGGGAATCGTGCTTTGAAACCTCAAAGCCTGCTTTCCAGTGACATACTTCCCAGTGACGTCTCTGAAATATCCCAAATAGTGCCACCAATTGGAGACCAAGTACTCACATGCCCGAGACTATGGAGACATTGCTCACTCAAGGCATCACATCTTCCTGAGTTGTTCTTGGCTGCTATCCCCACACTCGGGAGGTAGAGGCAGGAAGATCAGGGCTTCAACATCATTGCTGGCTGCGTGGGTGAATTTGAGGCTAGTCTGAGAACCTATCGACATGAGACCCTATCTCAAGGCAACAAGAAAACACAACAAAGATGAGTTGCTCCAGAGCCGCAGAATTGTAGTGTTGTTGACTAGTTTTCAGACATTGGAGACCGGAAGATGCATTTTGTACACTTGGATTTTAGTAAGACTCATCTCTGGCAAGGTGCTGGCAATTTTTTAGGAGATCTGGGAAAGAAACTTACCATGGAAACTTAATCCCTTATTTCAGAAAACTTCCCCATCTTAGAGTAGGACAGACTAGCTATGGGATTTGAAGACTCACTAACATGATGGTCCTAATAACTCTCAGAAGAGAGGCCTGGCTTCCCTCTTGCTGTATGGTTAAATACTCTCTGGGATATGGAGTATCTTCAGAAGTTTGGTTTTCTACTGTTTATAATTTAAGCAGTAGAGAACACCAGCAGGGGTAAGATTGAAGCTAGGTCCCTCCACGGATAAATACAATCTTCTTTATGCCAACCATACCTCCTCCAACCTAGCACAGACTGGTGCCTCTAGGCAGTCTCCGGGACCTCCATTCTGCTCGTTTTTTTCCAGTCCTTGGAAGCCGTTGACCCTTTTGCTTTATAATTCAGCAGCTAAAAGGCCACGCCATCAGAGTGAAGGAGGTGAAATTTAAAATTTAGTGCGCTTGGAAAAGTGCGTATTTATAATGAGCTTGAGGGCTCAGAGGATTTGTGAAGTCCGTTGGGATTAGCAGCCATTGATTGCTAATAAAACAATATTTAGCTTTGTCTGGAGAACAGCCCTGGAGAAAGGTGTGGGCACCTTGTCACCAGGGCCCATTGAGAGGGGATGATGGGCTGAAAACGGGGGTCTACACGTTGGCGTGGGTGCTGGTCCTTCAAGAAGCCGTTGTCAGTTGCTAGTCGGGCTGCTGAAAGGAAGGCCGCCAGAGTCTGATGGCTGGGGTGGTATTGATGTGTCTCCGCTGGCTAATCAGATTGAAAGAGTCCCATGGCATTTATGTCACTTAAATTTCCATCACACAATTGGGGGCGACAGCACTCTATTAAGGAGAGGTTGATCCAGAACTAAAGCCAAATAAATTAGGGTCTCAGTTTAATCAAATTATCCCTCTCCTGGCCCTGGATTAAGTGAGAGAGATAGCGTCGGTCTGGAGGCCTGCGATTTGCTGAGCCTCTCTTATTTTTAAAGAAGCCGCTGGAAGGAAAAAAAAAAAAAAGCATCAAAACACAGAGAGCTATAATAATCCAAGCATTGAAGCATTGTGCTAACACAAGACAAATTTTCTGTTACTAGCCAACTATGCATTGTGAATAATAATAAACCAGTTATTAAAATTGCTTTTAATTAGAGTAAGGGAAAGAAATAAATATGAGAGAGGTCAAGTGAGGATTTTTCTCTTAATTTGGGGTTTTTCTTGCCTACTGTCAGCATATCTAAAAATCTCCATTTAGAGAGGTCAAATGAATCAACTTTACATTTATTTATTTTCTGTTTTGGAGACATGGTCTTGCTATGTAGCCCTGGCTGGTCTGGAACCTGCTATAAAAACCAAGCGGGCCTCGAACTTGCTGTGATTCTCTTGTCTCTGCTTCCCAAGTGCTTCGACTACAGGGGACCACCTCCCCTGGCTGTTCCCACGCTAATGTCACAAAGCAGACACATGAACCCGAGTCAGCATACAGGTCCGGCTGGCAAGTGAGTTGTTAGGTCTGGGTGTCAAAGGCTAAAACGCCGAAGGAGAGAGTGATAATTCCTGGGCCTGAGCCGAGTTCCTGGGCTGGAGAGATGGCTCAGCTGTTGACTGCTTTTGTAGAGGACCAGGGTTCAATTCACTTTTGGGAATGGAAGCATGTGTCCTTCAGTTAGGCCCCGGCGTTACCCTCTCTCTTTCCTCCATTACTAGGTAGTTCTGTTTGTCTGTCTGTTTTTTAATCCTAACTGGACTTAACCTTTTTATTCAGATAGTTTTGGAGCTCTGACCCTGTGATGTATGTTAAGTCTCAGCCTTGCTGGTTTTTATAGCTCAGGCTGTCTTCAGACTCTTAGCAGCTTTCGGCAAGCATTTAAAAAGTGTGTGTGTGTGTGTGTGTGTGTGTGTGTGTGTGTGTGTGTGTGTGTGTGAGAGAGAGAGAGAGAGAGAGAGAGAGAGAGAGAGAGAGAGAGAGAGCCGTGCACACTTACGGAGGCCAGAGGACAATTGTATGGAGTTGGTTCTCTTCTACCTTTACATAGGTTTGGGGGTTGAACACAGATTCAAGGTGGCAAACACCTTTACCCACTGAGCCGGCTTGGTCCCTTTCCAACATTTTGTTGATTACACACTTAACATTTTTTTTTTTTAATTGAACGATTTTTGCATCGCCATATAATATCTAAAGCATTTTGTAAAGGCTCCAGGCAAACTGGACATTTCCATTCTCACAGTGCCTGGGTGTTCCTGCGTGGAACCCTGAGACCCCAGCATGGTAGAGCTGACACAGGGAAAGAAAAAAAGAGAAAGGAGAATTGTAACATTGTAAAAAGAAATGGGCTGGCGGGTGGCTTCCTCGCAGTGAGGTCAAGTGAGCCGTGGACTAAATACATATACAAACAGTAAGGAAATCACAAGTGTGATTGAGAGCAGACTTTCCAGTACAGCCCCACAGCCGCCCCCCCTCCCCCCAGCTCCCTGTAGGTTTGTTTGCTGTCTTGGTTTCATTGTGGTGTAGTTCAGTTGGTCTTTGCTGCTGAAGCTGCTGTGTCTGTCTGGAAGATGACCCTCGGAGCCTTTCCCTGGGTCCCGGGATCTAAGTCTGGCTTGCGAGGGTGCCTTAGATGTGTTCATTGAGATCCCATTTCCCCCCAGGCCTCCCAGCCTGCCTCCTGGGAATTATCTCTAACGTGAGTGAGCATGCAACCTTAGGAAATAACTAAGGTCCTTTTCTCCCCAGGAAGGGTTTGTCCGTGTTGACCGAGATTATGTGCTGAAGTCTGCAGAGCTGGCGAAAGCAGGAGGGTGCAAACATTTCAACCTGCTGTCCTCCAAGGGGGCTGATAGGTCGAGCAGTTTCTTATACCTACAAGTAAAGGTTTGTGAATGTCCTGTCTTCCATCTACGCAGAGCAATTGACCACGCTAAGTATAATGTTTAATACACACACACACAGAGAGACACACAGACACTGTATTGTGTATTTTTCAAAGCTACAGGGACTGTTTTGGGAGAACATACTTCAAAAGCAGGCATGCTTTAAGAGTTGCTTTCTCCATGAATTATTCAGTAAGGTGGGTGGAGGGAGCAGAGGCAGCCCTGGCCTTGGATGGCATGGCCTCTCAGCCTTGGAGACGACATTCCCTCCACTTCCCTCTGGCCAGGAGGACGGAATTTTATGCCTCTTGGCAGTACAATACATGGCCATCGCTGATGTTAACCAGGAGTTTCCATTTCCTAGTGTTGAAGTATAGTTGCTGCTGTAGGAGGCCAGGCCTGCCTTTGTGCTGTGTGTGTCCCTGGGCACGGTTCTCTGTCCTCAGTGGAAGCAGTGCCCCAGAGGTTTGTAGAGTCGGTCCCTCACTGTACTGGTAGGGAACCCCATTGCCTTAACTACATTTCCCCCCCCAGGCACAGCACCCTGAGCTCTTGGCTCCATTTTTTATCAGTTCCTGTGTCTACCCCCTTCATCATCTTGGTCCCTTTGCTGAGTGCACCTTGAAAATCATGTCACACTATGGCTCCCCTGGCCTCTGTGATTACGTGTCTGGTGTGAAAATTCACATCTTTATAATTTAAAGCATCTTCTATCTGTAACTTTACTTTTCTCCCCTTGAGATCTGGGAGGGAGCTGCTGAAGCTTAGACGTGACTGACAGAGGGGGTCGTCTATGACCCACTGGTTCTAGGTTCATCTCCTGACCACCCTATTTTTCTGACCTATTACAACTGCTTGTATGCTAAAAAGGTGTCTGTGGGGCCTGCGCTCTGAGGACTGGAAGGGGTTGGGCTGATGCTTCATTTACTTTCTCTGGGTCTCTTTAGACATTAATAAATGGAGTACCCAGGAGCATGGCCAACCTACCAAGGGCCGGCCACACCCATAAAACTCACTATCCCTCCCCCAGAAGCCATCAGCTGTCCATAGCTCCTCAGTCAGGGGTGGGCACTTGTCAACCCCGCCCACCTCCACGCTAGAATGCTGACTGGCTTGATCTCATTCATGACTGCGGTGGTCCTGTCATGTCCACAAGTCACTGTTTTGTTTGGGTCCACCCTAACTTCTGACTCCCACAATCTTTCTACAGTGGGCACTGAGCCCTGGTGTGTGTGTGTGTGTGTGTGTGTGTGTGTGTGTGTGTGTGTGAAATCAATGTCCCTTTTGTGGTTGAGCATTCTGCTGATAGTTATTCTCTGCGTTTTTGACCCGTAGCAGATCACTCTCCGTGTGCCAGGGTGAAATGGCCTCTTCCTTCTGTCCGGACGCTGAACTCAGGTTGTCCATTGAGGGCCGCGGAAGCCTGAGTGACTCCCTCTCAGGCCTCCTGGGAGTGCTTTGGTCAAACACTGATTTTTTTTTATCTTATTTTAAATCTGAACAGGGAGAAGTAGAAGCCAAGGTTGAAGAACTGAAGTTTGATCGCTTCTCGGTGTTTCGACCAGGGTAAGTTTTATCCTGCTAGGAATATGCAGAGAGGCTGACAGCTAAGATGTCTGTGAACAAGGTTGGCCCATGATGAATTGCTTCCCTGAAGGACCCGCCCTTCAGATTTGGAAAAAAGTATAGCTTGGGGCTGCCTCAGAATCACCTGGAACTTTCTGAAAGTTGCTACATGCATTTTTTTTTTTTCCCTTAACATTTGAAATTTTATCCACTTGATGCCCTTTTGCCTTTTAAAAATGCACCTCCCTCTTCATTTAACAAATCCAACTTTGCAACTACCACACGAGCCTACTGATTTTTCTGGAAGCCTGGACGTTGGTTGGTGTCTGCTGAGACGCCCCTCCTCCTTGTCGCCAGTGAGTGACACCTTCTGGATGTGGCCTCACATGGCCCCTCTTGTGCATGTGTAGAAAGATACCTCATGCTCTCATAAGGACAGCAGCCCTGTCCCGCCCTCAATGCCTCTTAACTCTGATCACCTCCGCAAGGGCCAGCTCCTTTGGGGTTCAGGTTTCTGCCGACGGGTTTTGGGGGACGGAACTCAATCTGAAGTATCCGGTAAAGTCTGAGCGCATGTCCATCTCTTCCCTCGCCTTCCTTTGTCTTCTAGAGTCTTACTGTGTGACAGGCAAGAGTCCCGTCCGGCTGAATGGCTGGTTAGGAAATTCTTCAGCTCTCTGCCAGACTCTTGGGCCAGCGGGTACTCTATACCTGTGGTGACAGTGGTTAGAGCGATGCTGAACAACCTGGTGAGTCCTGGCAGCGGACAAATGGAACTTCTGGAAAATAAGGCCATCCTCCACCTGGGGAAGGACAGTGAGGTGCCCAAGCTGTGATCTCAGTGCTTGTCACCAAATCAGTCACTTTGGGGTCTATAAAAAGTCTCTCTGTGGCCCTTTGTGGTACGGGTTGAGAACAGGAATCTGTGGTTGCGAGGCCAGCTCTGACACACTCCTACAGAGATGCCTGAGCAGTGGGACCCTAGTGCTCCAGGCAGGCGAGTGCTCATGGAGCCCACGAGCTGCCTGTAGCTGAGTGAATACTGTGCCTTTACTCTGTGTCAGCACCGAAGTCATAAAATGAGCTTCTGTGATTCATGGGGGAATAAAAGTAAACGGACAAACCCTGGGTGCTGTTTCAGCCGCTGCAAACTGTGGAGGCATAAGTGGGAAGGTGCCGGGGTGGGGGGTAGTGGGGGGTGCGGGGACGGCTCCCCAGGGATGGCATCCCAGCCCCCATCACCTCAGCCTCTGCAGAATCTCAGGTTGTATGTTCTAGGCACTCTAACCGCAGCAGGAATATAAAGCTACACTGTTGCCCTCAGCTCCCCTGGGATGGCATCCCAGCCCCCATCACCTGCACACGATGGTTTAGCACCATCCTCACCAGTCTTGAGCTGAAAAGCTAAAGCTAGGAAATGGCAGGGCTGAGATTAACTCAGCCCGATCCCATAGCTTGTACTTATTTTTTTAATTCGTGCGCCTGCCATGGGCACATTCCCTCAGAGGCCAGAAGCTGCTATCAGATACCCTGGACCTAGACTCACAGATCCACCTATGTGGGTGCTAGGAACTGAACTCAGGTTCTCTGGAGGAGCAGCAAGTGCGCTTAACCACTAAGCCATCTATCCAGTTCCCTGAAGCTGGATAGATGTGGTTTCTTTAACCACTCTGTAAAAGTACCCTTTGTCCATCTATTTCTAGAGAGTTCCAGTTAATTTATCACATGGTGGATGTGTGAAACTTAAATTGGTGGGTTTCGCCATTGGCCCAGGAGCCTTACAATTAACTGCAAACATTGGTTAATCTAAAATCTTCTGGCACTAAACTGAAAGACTCAGTGTCGTATGCTTTTCTATTGTTTTGTTTGGTGACAGGGTCTTGGGTAGCCCAGGCTGGCCTCAAATTCAACCAGTAGTCTAGGATGACCCAGAACTTCTGACACTCCAGCCTCCGCCTCCCAAGGGTTGGGGTTACAGGTGTGCCCCATCCTGCCTAGTTTCTGTAGTGCTGGATTGAACCCAAGGCTGCATGCATGCCAGGGAAGCACCCTACCAACTGCGCTATGCTCCAAGCCTGAGCGGATACACTTTTACAGGCGTGGGAGGAAAACAGAGGGAACGGAGCAGCAGGCGCAACTTAACTTCTGTGGAACCAACTCCAGTGACTGAGTCTATTGTCCCAATTACACCTCAAGTTCTGGTGGACGCTGCTGAGTGAATACCATCCCCTACAGTATGGGTGTACATTCTTGGAAGACGGTGGACATTGTCACTGTCGAGGCTTCTAGAGACCATTGAGATCTTGGGATGTGTGCTGCATGGAGACAGCTGGATGCATGCCTATAATCCTAGCACCAGGAAGGCTGAGGTGGCGGGACCATGGTTCAATGTCAGCCTGGACTAGACAGCAAAACCCTGCCTTAGTTTACTTCCTGTTGGTGGGATTCCCTCACAGCTGGGCTTGGAAGAACCTGAATGTGTTTCCATCATAACAGTCTTGGGCCTGGAGAGGTGAAGCAGTCTCTGGGGGTACCCATAAGGATACACTGAGCCTAGCAGGCTCTGAAGGCAACCAGACTGTGGCCAGTTTCTCTCTACCATTTCTGCACACCAAACATTGAGGAGCGAATCGACACTCAGATCTCTGTAACAGTAGAGTGATGTTAGAAGGATTGAGGCTTGTGTTTGGAAGAGAAAAATAGCCCACGCCCAAGCTCTGCACCATGGTGAGATGTCAGCTGCACCGAAGTTTCTGGCCCAGTCAACTCCAGGCTGGCATTACTGTCCCTGTCAACATCTGGGCACCACTGTGATTCAGCGGAGAAAAATGAGCTGGAGAGAGAAGTTTATGCAAGGAAAGTTGGAAGGGCCGGTACAGAAAGGGCATGCATTCACTCATTTATTCAGCAAGTGCTTAGCAAGCTGGTGATAAATTAGTGGGCAGTCTACTAGCCAAGGTGGCCAGCCAGATTTCTGGCGCTGCCCTGGAATGTCAGGGTGACTCAGAAGTTAACATTTGGTGGGCTCTGTCCCGTTCTGTGCTTCACTGGAGTATGGGCCATGGGACAGGGGGAAGAGGAGCAGAAGGGGAGGGAGAGGAGATGGGGAAGATAAGTAGCGGTAAGAAAGACACAGGCTGTTCCTGGAACAACGACCTGTTTTTTAGAGCTGGTGGAAGAGTAGGAGCATCGGGGAGGACTGTGGAGAAATGGAGTCTTCTAGACACGATAGGACCTCTGCACTCAAACTCAGCAGCTGTGGTTGCCTGTACAAGATCAAGCCAGTCAACATTCTAACACGGGTATGAGGATTCATGAGCTCCCATTCCCAACTGAGGAGCTATGGGAGAGGGAGGGGCATTTTCTTTAGGGATGTGGCCTGTGGCAGGTTGACTACACTCGAGTGGCTTTCCCCACACCCAGAGTACAAGGACCCACGTTAATTACTTTTTAAAAAGGATACGAAGGTGAGGGGTCGGGGCATGGGGGTGGGTAGATCTGAGAGGGGTTACGGGGAGGAACAGGGGGAATATGATCAAAATACACTGTATGAAATATCAATAAAACTATTAAAAAAGGAATAAATGGCGGCGATGTGAGCGAAGTCCTGGTGGTGAGAATCCGCCCACTGGAGAGCTTCAGAGGGTGTGCGTGGTGGGGAGGGGAGCTGAGCTCACGGAGAGCGAGCATCTCGCAGGCCTAGCTGGCCACGTCCTCAACCACGCAGATGCATAGCCTGACTGCAGCTTGGAGGCACTGCCTACGCACGCACGCCACCTGCCTGAGGGAATTCCACTAGAACACCGGAAAGGGGGCAGCCTGAGAAGTGGGAATCGCCCCGACACCAGGGCAGGCAGCATCATCTACAGGCACATATCAAGCAGTCCACCGGTCCCCATGGTGTGTGGGATCGAGTTGATGCCTAAACTTTTCCCACACGTGGCATGTAACCCTTACCAGTCAGGAAACTGAGGCGGAGAGAAAGCGGGTTGGGGTGGGTTTCCTTCTTGTTACGATCTCAGAATTCTAGCTGAGAAAGGGTTCAAACTGGAGTGTGGTTCCCACTTTCCCGCTCGAACGCCCCTAGCAGGGGGTGGGGCTCGGTTCCCGTTTGACGTCATCCGTGCATCAACGACCGCAGGAAGGCTCTTTCCCCCCGGGGGAGCCGGAGCTCCGAGTCTAGCCTGCACTGGCCACTGCCGGCGCCAGAGGGCGCTGCGGCAAGCTGCGCTCGACCTTGCCGTTGCGCATGCGTCGGCGCTGCCGCGCCTGTCGGCCCGCCCGGTAGGCCCACGTGACCCGGAAGCGCGCTCGGGCCGGCGCACGAGGAGCGGCGTGCGGGTTGCTGGGTGCAGCCTGCGGCCATGTGTTCGCTGGCGGCGGGGAGCGGTGGGTCCCTCGCGCGGCCGGGCGGGCGATCGGGCGGGCGATCGGGCGGGCGGGCGGGCGCGGGTCCCGGTGCTGACTGTGTCCCCGCCCCGCAGGCCACGGCGCCGACCCGGGGCCGGAGCCCCCGGAGCTGTCGGACAGCGGGGACGAAGCCGGCTGGGAGGACGAGGACGCCGAGCCCGCGCACGGCCGGCGCCACACGCCCTGCCTGTTCTGTGACAGGTTCGTGCCCGCGTGGGAGGCGGCGCCACAGCGAGCCGGCGGGCACGAGGCGGGCCCGGGGCCCTGGCCCACGCGCGGACGCTGATCCACGGGGAACGCTCGCGCGGCCCGGGGGGCGGAGCCGGGAGCCGCTGGGGGTGTGTGTGTGTGCAACCCAGGCAAACACACGCACACGCATGCATGCACGCACACACCCTCACCCCATCACACACACACACACACACAACCTCACCCCATCTCACACACACACACACAACCTCACCCCATCTCACACCCTCACCCCATCTCACACACACACACCCTCACCCCATCACACACACCCTCACTCCCATCACACACACACACACCCTCACCCCATCTCACACACACACACACACACACACCCTCACCCCATCTCACACACACACACACACCCTCACCCCATCTCACACACACAACCTCACCCCATCTCACACACACACACTCACCCCATCTCACACACACACACACCCATCACACACACACCCTCACCCCCATCTCACACACACAACCTCACCCCCATCACACACACACACACTCACCCCATCTCACACACACACTCACCCCATCTCACACACACACACACTCACCCCATCTCACACACACACACTCACCCCCATCTCACACACACACACACACCCTCACCCCCCATCTCACACACACACACACCCTCACCCCATCACACACACACACACACAACCTCACCCCATCTCACACACACACACACCCTCACCCCATCACACACACACACCCATCACACACACCCTCACCCCCATCTCACACACACAACCTCACTCCCATCACACACACCCTCACCCCATCTCACACACACAACCTCACCCCCATCACACACACACACACTCACCCCATCTCACACACACACTCACCCCATCTCACACACACACACTCACCCCATCTCACACACACCCTCACCCCCATCTCACACACACACACTCACCCCATCTCACACACACACACAACCTCACCCCATCTCACACACACCCTCACCCCCATCTCACACACACACACACACTCTCACCCCCATCTCACACACACACACACACTCACCCCCATCACACACACACACACACACAGATCCCTAATACCACCACTCTGGAGACTGAGGCGGGAGAATGGCCGCGAATCCCAGGCCAACCTTAACTACCTTGCTAAACCTCAAATCAAACCCCCCAAAACTAGAACTCCACACTTTAGTCTTAGATCAGGGATGGAGTCCTCTTGTTTCCATGGAGACACAGTATGGGTAGCTTGAATCCTGTGTCTTGGGTAACATGATTTTGGGAGTGCATAGTAGTCTGGAAGAGCGCTTCTGTTTCTACCGTCCTATAGTATGAGCAGTAGTCTTCTGTAACGTTCCATTGAGCCATTTAAATAGCCCTAACTCACATCCGTGATTGAAGGAGGGATTGGCACCTTTTGTACTTAGGGGAAGTGACTGCAGCAGAGCCATCAACCGGTTCAAGGTCATGACGCTTCAGTTTATATTCCCAGAGCACACTATCTTCCCACTTAAAATCCTGCGTCTCAGTTTCAGGAAAGCGACTGTGGGTGTGGGGGCTTGAAAAGGGGGTGTTTGCTATTGGCCAGTGCTGCTGAGCCCGCAGCACTAGGGCCGTGGCGTCGTAGACTGGAGACGGACCATTCCCGGGTGTCAGGCACCTCACTGGAGAGGAGGGATGACTGCACACTCGTATTTACTGTGGTGGGCTGTGAGGACAGCCCAGTGGCCTATCTTGGCAAACATTTGCTGAGAGTTACCCGTGCACTGGGCAGACAGGAGAGTGCAGCCTTTGCCCTATGCCCTTGCCTGTCGTGTTGGAGGTCACGTACAAAAGAGGCCTTATCTTCACATTGGAAAGCATGTGCTGTGGGACAGCCCGGGTTGCTCCAACTCTGCCACTCTGGGAAAGTGCCAGCTGTGCAGTTGATTTGCCTTGTGTGTGAAAGCATTCTGTGTGCCCGTTCACCGGGAGGGCAAAGGATCAAGTAGGGGGCTTCTGTGACTTGAGAGACACAACGGATATCAGAGAAAGCTGTGTTACCCAGAGGCCTTTGGGTGATTGGGGGTGGGTGGGGGGTTGTTTAGAATTTTGACTTCCCCTGAGACTGTCCCAGGAGATTGGTGATCGCTTGTCTCTTCAGGTTGTTCTCGTCTGCTGAGGAAACATTTTCACACTGTAAGTTGGAGCATCAATTTAATATTGACAGTATGGTCCATAAACATGGTGAGTATCTCACAGGATAAAGACAGATTTGCTTGTGAAGTTTAGGCTTAAATTTTACAATGTTCTTTTTGTGTGTGTTTGTGTGTGTGTGTGTTTCCCCAGAGTGGATGTCAGGTGGCTTCACTTCCTGGAATGAGGGAGGGTCTCACGCTTGAAGCCTTTAGCTTGCTTACCTGGCTGCTCTCTACCTCCCAAGCCTTGACATTGTAAGAGGCCAACACTCTGCCTCGTGTTTTATGTGGTGTCTGGGGATTCAAACTCCTGGCCTGGTGCTTGTCATGCTCACCCATTTAGCCACACAAGTCTGACGGCTTGAGTGTGCTCCCCGGGACACATGAAAGTGGAGGAACACAGCCAGTGTGTACACACACGCATGCATGCATACGCGCACACACATATGCACACACACACCTCTCACCCCCTCCCCGACACGCATACCATACCCCCACATCATACACTATAATATAAAAAAATGCAAGAGAAGTGCTTTGAAACTTGTTATATCTGGCTGTGTCTCAGACAAAGTATTTACAAGTGTCAAAACTACAGTTTCTAATTTTTAATGGGAAATTCCAAATAGAAGTGATACTTTAGAAGTCAGAGATATCTCAGTGGAGGAGCATTTACATATCAGTTAAAGCAAGTATATTGTATTAAAATCAGTGAATTGCCTTTTCTTCTCCCATTTAGGACTTGAATTTTATGGATACATTAAACTAATAAATTTTATTAGACTTAAGGTGAGTTGGAAACTTCATAATTTTATACAGAAGTTGCTGAAGCTCACAGAGGCTGCCGGGCCACTGTGCTGATTACCCCAATGGAATATGAGCAGTTGTTGCGTTTGGCACTTCTCATGTTGTGGGAATTACGGGCGTAAGGAAAGAGTCCAGGGCGAGGCTCCAGGTGGGGTGTCCCCTGCCTACTGCTGTCATGTTTACGGTGTTGGGTCAGTAACGTGCAAAAAACAATTGTCAGGTAAAAGGAACTGTCAGTATTTCTGTATAATCAAGTAATTTCTAGTCTGATTCCAAGTACTTTGGATGTACTTTTTTTTTGTTTGTTTTAATTTCTCATAGTTTATTCTCTTTTTTAAATTTCTATTTTATTTTCTGTGTATGAATATTCTGCCTGCATTCCTGGTGCCTGCAGAAGCCAGAAGAGGAGGACGTTGGGTTCTCTGGAACTTAGTTTACAGATGGTTGTGAGCCATTGTGTGGGCGCTGGGAATCGAACCCATGTCCTCTGCAAGAAGAATAGCCATTGCTTTTAACCTCTGAGCCATCTCTCCTACATTTTTTTTTTTTTTTTTTTGGTCATCTTATTCTCTGCCTATTTAAATGACTGTTTGAGCTGTGGTCACTTTCTCTGCATCAGACAATATGAGAATATACTCCAGCCTTTTAAATGGTAGGCAAACACAGACATTGTGGTCTTGTGCAGAATTGAGTGTTTGTTTTTTTTTTACTTGAGCTCTCCGCTCTTTTTTAGAGGACTTTGTCATTACATTCAATGAATACAGTATGCTTTAACTTCATACCCAGAATCCTACGGTTGAGTATATGAATTCTATATACAACCCTGTGCCTTGGGAGAAGGAAGAGTACCTGAAGCCAGTGTTGGAAGACGATCTTTTGCTCCAGTTTGGTAAGGTGAACCTTTCTTACCTATTTTAGCTAGCCCTGGGCCATTTGTTGCAGCAAATGAAAGCAGAGTGCTTTGTGAAAATAGACCTTAATTGTCCCCCCCCCCACCCCTGTTCCCCAAGAGATTTTGTTTGTTTGTTTGTTTTTGTTGTTGTTTTGTTTTGTTTTTTTGTTTTTTTGCTCTCCTTTGTTTTACCTGGTTGGTGATTCTGAAAATAGCCGGTTTGTAAGTTTTAAGTTGGCTGATGTTCTGGAAGTCCTGATGAAGCATTGTGCCAGCCAGCTGTCTCTTCCTGGCCTGCTCCAGCTGGTTTTGTTCAGGGTACCCACACTGTGTGTACTATCCGCTCTCTAGCTGTTGTCTTAGCATTGCTGCTGCGGTACCACAGTGCTCATGTTCAAGTAATCCTTCCAGGAGCCTGTATTCGTTTCTTTTTTACTGTAGCATCTTGCTACATTTGTCACTAATTGTTGTTAATTTATTTCTGTGTCTCATATATTGATTAAACTTTATGACGGACATGCAGCATGGTAGGAAAACACGGCTCATAGAAGGCTCAGTGTCAGGCGTCCACTGTGGATCCCCCCTCCATAGATAATGGCTTCACCTCCAAGGACCTCAGCAGGCTGTCCGTTTCCACAGAAAGAGTGGATCACAGGTCTGGGATGGAGCTGGAGCTGAGGAGTGCTTGCCTGTCAAATCCTGGCTCTGACCCCAAAGCCAGAGCACTGCCAGCCTCAGCAGGACTGCACTCCCAGCCGCTATGTTCCAGGGTCACTCTCTCATTCCAAACAGACACACACAGTTACTTACTGCAGCACACGGAAGGAAACGAAGTGCCCCCTCAGGAGAGAGTGGCTGAGTAAATTGTGGGCAGCCACACTTGGAGCAGATACCCTTAAAGAGAACGGGGATCTGTGAGTGCTGCAGTGACTGACGGAACTCGGTGCTCCATGCAGGAGGGCTGCGCCCTCCAGGGCTGCTACTGGTCCCCCGCTCTCAGTTTCCAGTCACTGGACGGTGCTGCGTATTTCTGTCAGTTATGACCGAGTTAGTACAGCTGAGATAAACCAGGTCTGCCAAGCAGCTTGAATCTGGAAACAAAATACAAAGTTAGAGTTTGCTATTGGTTTTGTAGTTGACGTGAACCAGATAGTCAAAAAAAGATGCAGGTGGAGGGAGGAACAGCTTATTCTGCCTGACCGTTTGAGAGGTAGGGAAGGTATTGCGTGAGCAACTGCTCACATGGGGTCCACATCAGCAGTCTAGACTGGACAGGAGGTGGGGCTTAGGGTGGAGTCAGAGAAATGGCACAGAGATTAAGAGCAGACACTGCCCCTTTGGTTCCCAGAATCCACCTGGCAGGTCACAACCGGCTGTAAGTCCAGCTCCAAGGGATACAGCACCTTTTGGCCTGCGTGAGCACCTGCATGTATAAAATGCCCAGACAGACTAGCAGACGCCTATACACAGACAAATAAAACGTAAAAGCTCGTTGTCGTCTCCCATTAACCCACTTTCTATGTGGGCTCCACCTGCTAAAGGCTCTGCACACAGCTTTCCGTACAGTGTGCCAGAGTCGGCCTTCAGCTTGGGCTCCGAACTCGTGGAGGAGCAGTGAGCCTGGTTATCTTAGCTGTTGGGTCCCAATCCTGCGGAAGTGTCTTCACAAGTACCACAGCAGAAGCCCATGGGGGCTGAGTACTGCCCTCAGCCCTGCATGGATGAGGGGTGTCAGCAAGGTTTGTTGCTTTAGGTAGACCTGAAAGTTAATGAAATCTGATGATTATTTCTATAGTAGAAGTTAATGGCGAAATTAAGATTAAATCGAGATTTTTTTTTTTGTTTATTTTTGTTTTTCAAGACAGGGTTTCTCTCTGCAGTCCTGGCTGTCCTGGAGCTCACTTTGTAGATCAGGCTGGCCTTGAACTCATAGTATGCACCTGCCTCTGCCTCCCAAGTGCTGGGATTAAAAGCGTGCACCGCCACTTCCTGACAAGATATGGATTTCTTAATCATAAATTTTGGCTGCATCATAATATCAGTAATAAAATATTAGTGTCTTGCCTGGCATGGGAAAGTTTTGGATCTCTAGAAGTCTTTATCTGTGCTCCATCCTTAAGGGATTGCCTGTCTTCCTCATTTGAGGAAGGTGTGATTGAGTCTAACTTCAGTGTGCAGGGGTGTGATCCTGTCTGTGTACACAGACGTTATGAAAAGGTGTGGAAGTTAAGCACATTAGCATGTAACATGTACCCAGCGTTTGTATGTGTGATGAGAACATAACAGTGTTCTCTGTTGTGTTGGCACATTTCACGTGTACACCAAGGCATCAGCCGTAGTCACATGCGTGAGATGTCCTGTATGCATTCATCTGTAGTAAAAGCGTACAGCCCTAGCTATGGAGGCACAGCGCTCTCTGCCTCTGTGGGGCCTGTGTTAAATGGACTTCTGTGTGAGATTTTGTGTTTGCCCTATGGTATCGGCGTGTTTTCCTTCACCCGCTACCCTCCAGGCTCATTCCTGTTGCACCCAGCAAGACTGCTGTGTGCCTGCAAGTGCTGTCTGCCATTCTGCCATTCAGGGGCTAAGGACACACGCTCGGAGGTGGCTTTGTTAGGGTCAAGAACCTGGGCGGAAGGCAGGTGCGGGAGTTTTCTCTTCTCCAATAAATAACTGTGTGACTATTGAGCCAGTCACTTAGCTTTTTTGAAATTTATTTTCCCCGTGTCTGAAGTAGGGATAACTATTTATGTTTCAAGTTTGTTTTTGGGAGTGAGATGTGATGTAATATGTGCACACTTGAAAGCTTAATGGTAAACATTGGAGCCCCCCCTCCCGGTTTGGTTCAGTGTATCCATGCATGACCATGTGCAGTTTAGTTAGCTAATGAAAAATAGACTATCATACTCCGTGAGATCAAATCAGAAAGCTTGGATGTCAAGTATGTGAAAAGTGCTTTTAATAATTTTTGTTACTTGACCATTGTAGGCACTTAGACCCTTTCTTTATTCCTAACTTGTTTTTCTCCGCTGTGCTGCTGTGAAGTGGCCTGATAGCGATGTCCATTTACCTTCTTTCTAGATGTAGAAGATCTGTATGAGCCAGTGTCGACTCCCTTCTCCTACCCCAACGGACTCAGTGAAAACACATCCGTTGTTGAGAAGTTGAAGCGCATGGAGGCGCGGGCACTGTCTGCTGAGGCTGCACTGGCTCGAGCTCGAGAGGATCTGCAGAAAATGAAGTAACTGCCTGTCCAACCACACAGTGCTTTAGGTGTAGTGAGTTAACGGCAAAAGCCCTTGGGATGCTAGACACACACTCCCTGTATACTTCCTGTGGGAGTTTTAAAGACGCGCAGCATTTCATAGCGTGTGAACATAGATAACTCTGGAATCGCATTTTTATGTACTTGCACATACTTCATAATTTGCATGTGTGGCTGTTCTAATTTCCTCTTGGATATTTTAATATTTCCTGCCTTTCAAGTTTCTTGTTTCTAGTTGGTTTCTTCTCTTTAATTGTCCTATCCTAGTTTTTCAGAAACGTTTTGGGGGAAAAAAATACAGTGTTAAAATGTTGTTTTTAAAAATTAAAATGTGATGGTAGTGTGGAATTTGACCAACGAATCATATAGACGGGGGCAGTCCAGTCCCCCCATCAACTCCCCTCCCTCCCCGAGTTCTCATTCTCTAGGAGAGCCTTGCATCTCCTGGGGGAACTTGTCAGTCTAGAGGTGGGCACGGCCTTCAGTTATGCATCCGTAGCATGTCCACCTCCCAATTTCTACCTTCCGGGTGTGTAAGCTGGCTGCTAGTCCCCAGTTCCTTTTTGATGGCTGGCCAGAGTGTCTGGTGCCAGAGAGAGCAGAGTCCATCCAAGTTCCTAGCCCCTGTGTCTGGTTTTTATGCTTGGCAACTTAGTCACTTACCACCAGCTCCACTTTCTACCTTTTGTCCTCCCTCTTGTGTGCCTTGGCGATCACTAATATGTCACCACCTGAGTGTGAGAACAGGGGTGGGTAAGGTGAGTGGTTTGGGTATGCTCTCTGCTCTTTAACCCATGCTAAAAGGGCTTTGAGAACAGGAGGGAAGAAATACATTGAATAAGGCAGTGCATTGATAGGCTCCCCAGATACTGCTGCAGACCCAGCAGAGGGCGCTGTCGGGGTTTCAGCTAGGAAAGGATTTAAGATGCAGGGCACACTGTCCCCCTCCTCCCTTTCCTCATCCTCCAGCCTTGCCTTTTCTCATGGTCCAATAAACCTGTCTCAAGGGTGTATTTCAAATTGATTACAGACAATTTGCTCAGGACTTTGTGATGAACGTAGATGTCAGAACCTGCTCCTCCACGACTGCCATTGCAGACCTGCAGGAGGATGAGGATGGTGTTTACTTCAGCTCCTACGGGCATTATGGGATACATGAAGAAATGCTAAAGGTTGGACAGAGTTCATGTGCATCAGATCCGCCAAGGGAGAACCCTGTAGAATAGGCCTTACTTCTCTTCGAGTGTGTGTGTGTGTGTGTGTGTGTGTGTGTGTGTGTGTGTGTGTACATGTGTCTGAGGTGAGTGTGTGTGAGTGCGCATGCACGTGCATGCGTACCTCTGGTGCTTGGATAACTTGCTCCTCAGATGAAGAGATTACAGAGGTGTCAAGTCCCTGTGAATCCTGTTTAAGTCAGTATTCATCCTTCCTTTATGAAGCCACTTTTTTTTCCTTGATGTAGAACATTGGGAAAAACGACTGCTTGGTGGCTCTGGTCTTCCCAGGAACATCTACAGTGTTAAATAAGAGTTAAATGATATGGTTGTTTTTTTTAACATGGAAAAGGAGCCATTTTAGTTTTTAAAATAGCAATGCTGACTTGGTCTGGGCAAGTAACTACCTTGTAAAATTTAATTTAAAATAGTTCTCACAGTATTTGACTGACTTACAACCCACAGAAAAACTGATAATACAGAAATGTTTCCTGATGTGGTCAGACCTGATATTTGAATCTGTTCAGTTTTAATAGTCATAGTAGTAATGGCAGTATAAGATAGAAGTAGTTTCTAACTGTACTTATTTATCAAATATGAAAGGTAGCATAAAATAGAACACATTTTGAATTGTAAAAATTTTAGATGTTTATTTCCAGGAATTTTAAATGTTACCTTCTCTCTTCCTAAAATTAATCAATAAAAAATCTTTTGTGAAGCCTCCCTCCAAAGATTTTTCTATTTAAAGGGAGCCCAAAGGCTTTAAAGCAGGGTCATGCCATTAATACCATGTATCATTTGCTGCCTCCAGGCTGATGATGGCATACACTGTAGACAGTGTATGATTACTGTAAATCTCCATGTCTGTCCCGGCTCCTTTCTGTGTGTCTTGTCTATCGTCTATCAGTCTCCCTGGGGCCTCTGTTCTCTGTCGCTCTGCCCCGATCCAAGGTTAATTTCGTTAACACAGTCTCAGAGTTTCACAGGGTGATCAAATACCCTGAAAGCACAGGCTTCACATTCGTTCGGGGTATAATATTTTCCGTAAAGATGGTAAGTGTCATCTAAGCCCAGCTGGCTGTTTTAGCTCTGTCTACTCAGTGCTTCCTGCCCTTTGTATCTTTGGTGTGGAACTTGTGGAGCCTTTTCCAGACAGGCCATGGTCACTGAAAGTCCCTGTGGGTGGAGGTGTTTCTAACTGCAGTGGTCAGAGAAGGCTGCCCGGGACCCTTGTGCCTGTGTGTCAGCGATTGTGCCATGTGACACTCCTGGGTGTACATGGAGGCTGCAGCTGACAGGCTCTTCACCTTAGAGGATCACTGGGACTGACAGTTTCCCTTCCTGTGGCACAGGCTTGCTCTTGGAGGTGTTGGTGGGTTTGATATTGGCTATGATAAGAAGTAGTTATGCCTTGGAGCAGGCTGCATTTCGGTGTTTCACCAGAAGTGCTCAGCCCAAATAAACCGTTCAGTGGTATCTTGCTATGGAAAACCTACCGAATCCCAACAAGTAATTTCACATTGGGAAGCACTTAGTGTAAGGTATTTGATAGACTGGTTGGCGGGTTTTCTTTTCGGTCACAGACATTTTATCGTAATTGCAATCTCATTTCTAGGGTCTGGATGAATGTAGTTGTTTAAGGTTTAAAGACACAGTTGACGGGGTTTCGGGTTAACTGAACTGTAGATAGCCCTTGCTACTCTGGGCCTTTGAAGGAGGGAGGGTTGTTGGCTTAATGCAGCTCTGAGCAGCTCCCCAGTCTGCCCGTGTTTGCTTTGGCTCCTGTGTATCAGAGCTCTGATTTTGTTCCTTCACTTCGGGTTGATGTGGAAGACGCCTTCCAAGTTATATTCTGCACTCATGTTAGTCTTTTGTTAGAGTAAATTGAGGGTTTTCCCTGTTTTGTTTGTTTGAGACAGGGTCTCACTTAGCTTAGGCTGCCCTAAGACTTTGTAGCCAAGGGTGACCTTGAACTCTTGACCTTTCAGCCCTTACTGTTAGTTGCTATAGGGTTACAGGCCTGCACCATCATCCAGGCTTGGAAATGGTTTTTAAGGCGAGTTCTTCAGTAGCTTTCCTATTCATGATTGTGGGTTTGTTTGTTTTGTTTTGTTTTTAAGCAAAACGTCAGTGTATTCAGCCGAGGCTCTGTGTAATGGGCTCACGAACATCAGAGATGATGGGGGAGGTCACAGGGAGGAGCAGAGTGCAGCCAGGTTGCAGTGCAGTTAGAACTGCAGTCGGGATGCTGTTCACCCAGTTGGAGGGTGGAGAGGCCGGTGATTGATTGTTGAGAGCCTTCCAAGCTGCTGCACCTGTGGCTGTTGGCCACTCTGAGTTCTGTTGTTTGAGCAGAAAGTGTTCACAGTGGTGGACGTTTATTTTATATGTTTTCTTTATTCTTGAGAATTTCTTGTGTGTGTGTGTGTGTGTGTGTGTGTGTGTGTGTGTGTGTGTGTGTGTGTGTGTGAATAATCCTACCCACCCTCTTTCCCCCTCTAATTTGCCCCATACCCAGCACTAATGAACTTAGGGATTGCCCCCACCTCCCAAAAAAGAGGGAATTAATTTTGTAGGCAATTTGGGTTTTTTTGTTCTTTTTCTTTTTTCTTTTTGGACTTTACAGACAGTGTTTCTCTGTGGATTCTGGAGGCTGTCCTGTAACTCACTCTGTAGACCAGGCTGGCCTTGAACTCACAGAGATCCACCTGCCTCTGCCTCCGAGTGCTGGGATTAAAGGCGAGCGCCACCAACACCCAGAGGAAATTAATTTTGGAGGATGCCTGTTGGAAGGGTTTTGGAGGAATTATCTTTGTTGATATTAGTTTCTTTTTGTTTTGTGGTGAATTGGAAGATAGGTCACTTTGTGTACATTATTTAGGGGAAGATGACAAGCTCTAGTGGGCTCAGGACAGATTCAGTTATTTGTCTGAAGTGTCCTCAGTTCTTATTTGGCTGAGTCCTTCAAAGGAAGTGAGGTAGCAGGGTTATTTAATTCATTTACTTATTTTGAGTTTTTTGAGACAGGGTTTCTCTGTGTAGCTCTGCCTGTCCTGGATGGAACTCGCTCTATAGACCAGGCTGGCCTTGAACTCAGAGATCCACTGCTTCCTGAATGCTGGGATTAAAGGTGTGTGCCACCACTCCCCAGCAGACTGTTTTTGTTTTTCTCTGTGAAACCCAAAGCTGGAGTTTCTCCTCGGAGGCACCTGTTTTGACCATACCCAGTTTTCCTTCCTGGCTGCAGAGCTCTCGCCCACCTCACCTGAGCCCTTAGTCACCAGCCAGCAGGGATGTGAGGATGCTGCAGGCCTGCATGGTCATAGCTTACGAGAGACTTCTGAGTGTGGAGTCGGTTAATGTGTACCCTGGGGCTCCCGTGATTTCCTTCAGACTGCAGACTTTCTAGAGAAAGAATAGTGCTATAAATCAGATGCTGTGTAGCTTTCTTAGGAAAACTTCATCAGTGTGGATTATTTTTTCTGTTCCTTATTTTCCTGTAGCTTCAGTACCGGGAGCGGGCTCAGCTTAGAGGGTGTCTTCTGTTGGCATTTATGGTGACCATGTGTGGAAAGAGAAAGACGTGCACATTTCAAACCAATTGACTTACACTGTTACTATTTGTATAAAAACTTACATGTTGTTGCTATTTTTGTCCTTCATTGTTTTCTTTTAGGAAGAAAAAAAAAAATTAAATAGCACAGTTTCCCAGGCAGAACATAGTTGTGGAAGTTAGCAGTGTGTAGTACAGTAGTACAGTAGCCATAAGCTCATGGAAGAATCATTTGCTCAGACTGTCCCTGTAAACACAGTGCTTTGCTCTCTACCCTAGGACAAAGTCCGCACAGAAAGCTACAGAGATTTCATATACCGAAATCCACACATCTTCAAAGATAAGGTGAGTGCCGTTGAACCATCGGTCCTGGATGTGCTTCCCAGGACCTGTGATGCATGGCTTGTGGTCCTGCATCCTGATGTCCAAGATGCTGATGGGGCCGCCATTCAGGGGTTCTTTTGTAAAGCTGAGAGTCATTCATTACAGAAATAGAGCCTAGTGAAACTTCGCCTATCCAGCTAGTCTAGACTGTAGTTTTTGATTTATGGTGATTGTGCGCCTGTAATGTATCAATTTACCCCATGGCAAAGCGTACTCTCAATTATTATTTTTCTGTGTTATACAGTTAAAATTTCATACTGTTGACTAGAGTGAGATATTATAAAAGCTCGATTTTCTTCTATAGGGTTTAGTCCTTTGAATTTATTGCTTTATGGAACATCTTGTAATCAGTTTTTAGTATTATCTAACTTATTTAAAAGCTTTATTGTATTTTACTTATCTTTCTCCTTTTTTACGTGTATGTATTGTTTATGGTGGGGTGGGCATATGAGCACCAGAGTGCATGTGGTGGTCAGAGGATGGTTCTGTCTTGCCATATAGGTGGTTGTAGGTTGTCAGGCGTGGCAGCAAGTGCCCTTATCTGCTCAGCCATCTCACCAGTCCGGTGTGCGTGCGTGCATGTGTGTGTGTGTGTGTGTGCACGTGTGTACCCGTTTGTGTGTCTGCGTGTGCATGTGCACACACACACACGAGAGATTGTACACATCTGAGTGTATGTTTCTTTGTGTGTGTGTGTGTGTTTGAGTACAAGTGTGCATGTATGTATGTGAAGTAATCTGTCTCACAAGTTCTCACATTTCCTTCTCTCCCTTTCCTTCCCTTTCCACATGGGCGTGGTTGCCCGAAACATCATGGTGCTGTTCATCTTCATTAGAAGTTACCCAGCTAGTTTAGTCAGGAGTTATCGGTTCTGCCATCTGAATACCTTTCCTGGAGTTTTCCCTCCATCCGTCTTCCTTCAAGACTCTACCTTTTGAGCACGCACGTATTTCTAGCTGTCCATCTTCACGCTCCTGTAGGTTATTCCCTGGGCCTTCTGTCTTGGAGGAGCAGGGAGTGGAGACCTTCATTGTGAGAGCTGCTTCTGTTTTCACACTGGGGCATATCTGGAATGGCTTTCTATTTTCTTTCTCTCTCTCTCTTTTTTAAGATGTAGTACATGTGTATACGTGTCTGTGTGTGTACTGTGTGCATGCAGGTGCCTGTAGATGTGATCGCCCTATGAAAATGTCACTTTGTAGTTCTAATTTAGTTATTTACAGGTTCTTATTTATTTTTACTCTTTTTAAATTTACTCTTTTCTTTTTAGATTTATTTATTATGTATACAGTACTTTGCCTGCATGTCTGCCTGCACACCGTTATGAGGGCACCAGACCCCATTACAGATGGTTGTGAGCCACCATGTGGTTGCTGGAAATTGAACTCAGGACCTCTGGAAGAAAATCCAGTAACCTCCAGCCATCTTTCCAGCCCTTTATTCTTAACCTAGTAAGCTGAGGAGGAATGAAGGGGTCCTTGTCTGTCTGGGCAGAAGCCAGCTATAGCATCTGGGCATGTGGGGAATTGTGTGCCTCATCTGCAGACTGAATTTTCAAGTCCTTCCTGATTGATGGTTGCTGTGTCCGAGCACCCTCTGTCTTTGAGGCATCTTCTCATTTCTTTGTAAAATGAATGCATAGGAATTGAAGCGGCGAGTTAGAAGTTTTCCTCTCAGTGTACTCTGGAGTAGAAGGGTTCAAATACTAGTTACCAGAGGATGTCGTCTTTTGAAATAAGTTGTGACTAGGAAGGGTGCTTACTAAGTCATGAGCCTGTACGCTGGGACTTTTGCTTCTAGTTTTTCTGTTGCAGTGCTGTGTATTTGTGTGTGTGTGTGGGGGGGTAAATCAGTGATAAAACACTTGCCACGAAAGCAGGAGGACTGGAGTTCATATTCTCTGCATCCACGTAACTACCAAGTGCTGTGGCAGCCCACCTGTGGTCCAGGTGTACCGGAAGCACAGATGGCTTCTCTGAGCACCCCAAGTCAATCTCTGGCCTTCTATGTACAAATTTACATACATGTAAATGGAAACACTCATGTAAGCGTGCGCGCGCACGCGAGCGCACACACACACATGCACACACACACACACACACACACACACATACACAGCCAATCAAACAAGCAAGCATAGCGTGGTACCTTTCCCGTATCAAAACTCCATGGCGAACTGTGGAGTCTGCCCCTCTCACTGAGAGTCTGCTGCCCATGTAAGGGAATGGCAGGCAGTGTTGAGTACCTCCTTGCTGCTTTGCCAGAGGGTTAGCCATTAACTTTATCAGTGATGGCATTTGTGGTTTGTCAGAAGTCACAGTAGTGCAAAGCATTTTAGCTTCTTTTTGGTTTTTGAGAAAGGGTTTAGAGCCTGTCCTGGAACTTACTTTGTAGGCCAGGCTGGCCTGGAACTCACAGAGATCCACCTGCCTCTGCCTACCAAGGGCTGGGATTAAAGGTGTGTGCCACCAACACCTGGCAACATTTTAGCTTTTTAAAGCACCTTAAAGGCATACTTTTTTGCGATCAGAATATTAAATTCTACAGCTTTTATCTCCTCTTGCACTGTGGCTGTGGCTGTAGGAGATTCAGTATCGTGTATTTAAGTGCATAGGTCATCGTGTAGCACCATGGGACTAGGTGCCTTGTTTGTCTTAAGTTTACTGCAAACAGGAGGTTAACTGATGTCTTCAGAACACAGAACTGAAAAGGAAAAAACAAACAACCCAGGCTTTGTGCTCTAGCCTAGTGCCTGCCTGCCTGTTCTTTGCACTGAGAAACAGTGGGTCAGTGCAGGAGGGATGGTAGTTAGGGTGCGACTTGTTAGTTACAGTGTGGAGATTCACACACATGCATACCTGGTTATTGCTATGTGGCATGGCCATGTAAACATTTATGTCATTGTTTTAAAAGCCCATGAAGTTGTATACTTTTCTCCTGGGTTTTATTAATATGTCTTTCCATTTTTGTATTAAGTAGACTTCATGTTATAACACCAGCTTCTATATCATACTGTACAGTGGGTAGCAGAGATGTGTTTTTCAAAGTATTGTTATGGGATGGTGATGGTTTAGTAGTTACACATGCAAGCGTGAGGACTGAGTGAATTTGGATCTCCATAACCCCATGAAGCTAGATGCTGAAGCAGGTCTATAACCCAAGAGCCCCTCTGCCAAAAAGGAGGCAGCTCCTGGAGACTCCCAAAAGCTCTGGGCAGCTTGCCTGTGACACACATCAGCAGATAAATAGATGTTCCAAACAAACAGAAGTCAAGGACATATCTGAGGTTGTCCTCTGACCTTCATACATGTCCTGTGGCACACACATCTTCACCAACACATGGTGCACAGTGATTGGTTGTTTTTTTTTTTTAAAGGTAACTGTAATTAAAAATGCTCTTTTTCTTCCTTCCTGTTCTCTCCCTGTCTTCTTTCTTCATATTGTTTCAATCCTCAAAATTCCTGTGGAGGCCATATGGTAGCTCAGTTGATTGAACTTTGGGTGGCATTTAATCATCCTCTCACATGTTCATAATTAATTTGTTTGGAGTCCATTGAAGGAACTCCCAGTCAGGTGCCTTCTTTATGCTACTGGCTTCTATCTACAGGTAACATTTGTTCATTCACTTTATTGTTTATTTATGTAAGAGAAAAGGAAAGCAACTTCCGTCCATTATCATTTTATAAAATAGCCTTTGTAATTGTTTTTAAATTTTATGGGTTATACTTGTAATTCCTTTTATTCAAACTTGAAAGCCTTGTTTCTACCCAAATTGAACCTGTTAGACGTTAGCAATAAGCAGGGTAACCTGCCTTTATGCTGGCCATGGAGTTGCTCAGTTTGTGCAAAGTATCTCCTAATTTAGCATTCATTGTTGGCCTAATTGCAGAAGATCATGGCCAACTGTGCCATTAATTTAAAGTAACTCATGTTGTTCTGCACATAGAAACTACCATAGTTGATCAGTAAGTTAAACTTTTTATCAAAAGGTGTTCCTATCCCAAAATACTCTCACATTTTTGTGCAATTGAGAATAGAAGCTTTTTTCAATAGTAGCTATTTTATTTTTCAGGTTGTTCTAGATGTTGGGTGTGGAACTGGAATTCTCTCGATGTTTGCTGCCAAAGCCGGGGCGAAGAAGGTGATTGCAGTTGACCAGTCTGAAATCCTCTACCAAGCTATGGATATCATAAGGTAAGTGCACTTTAACACTTAATTCATAATTAATTTTGAACTTGAAAATGTAAACATTTTCTAATTTTTAGTAAATGTCTAGTAAAAGATAGTCAACATATTTGTCTTTTTGTGAAAATCCACCAGCATAATAAAATCTTAGGTTGTATTGAGCTAGGCATGCCATCCTGACAGTTGTTGTTAGAGGACTGCTTTTATGCTGTTTGCATCCAGAGCATACTGGTTATAATAGAAAAGCAGGAACTACCATAGGATAACATCAACACAAGACTCCCAGAGCAAATCTGTCAGTGATACTTTCCTCAGCACACACCAGTTACATTAAAGACGGAGCTTGCACTTTCATTCTCTGACATCAGCCACATTCCTCCTTTATACCAAGTAACCCTGGAGTGGCTAGAGGTGAGCTGAAGTTGTGGCTGTGTGTGTGCTGTAGTTCTGTAGTTCTGTGAGGGTTTTTATTTCTCATTTGTGTGATGCACAGTTATGTATGTCACTGTCATTCCAGCGGTTCTGTAGCAGGCATCTCAATTGCCCAAGCAAACAAACATGAGAGCTAGCATTCCAAGGGAAAACGACGTTAGAAAAATTAACAAAAATTTATTGTTGATAGTAAGATTATGGGAAGGCACTTTTGCCAGGAATTCCAGTGTGTAAGATTGCTCCTTTACGAATTAGCTTGATTCTGCAGAACTGGACCATCTGTGCTTTCAATTGAATTTTGTATTTTATTGAAATGGAAAAGGATAGTTTAATTCCCAGGAGATTTAGAAACATGCTTGCACAAGGTCATGTTCATATTTATTGTATGTGAACTTTTGTTGTTGTTTTGTTTTTTAATGGGTGTATGAGTATTTTGCTTGTTTGTATGTATATATGTGTACTGTGTGCATTCCTGGTGCCTCCAGAAGCCAGAACAGGGCATTGAAGTCTCTGGAACTGTACTTAAGGACAGTTATGAGCCACCGCATGGGTGCTGAGAACTGAACCCATGTCCTGTGGAAGAGCAGCCAGCGCTCCTTCCTACCGAGCCATTGCTCCAGCCCTGATTTTGATGTACATGTTCAGGTTTCAGTTCTGTGATGAGCTGTTCTGCCAGAGAACTTGATTCAGCTCACTATTTCAAAGGTCCTGGCTCACGGTCAGCTGGATTTGAGGCAGAATACTTTGGTAGAAGGGTGTGAAGGAAAGCTCACTTGTTGGTGTGGGTCAGGAGAGACCCAGAGAGCAAGGTCTCTTTTTCAAGGTGTGAGCTGTTTCTTCCAGCTAGTCCCTACTTCATCCCGTGTCCCCAGGGCATCATCAGGTAGACTTAAGTTGGTGAAGGCTGTGCCTTCATTACCTACCCAAGCGCTTCCCTAAGCCCAGCAGCTGGAATGCAGCCTGGACACCACGGCAGGAGGGAGCGTGTCTGTGATACACGGGGCAGTCATTTCTAGTCTCCTTTGTGGTCAGGGTCAGGGTTAGGGTTCGGGGCCGTCATGGAGGGTGACAGTCGCATCTCAGTGAGCAAGTAGTCGGTTTTAGAGTGCAGTGTCCCTCCACTGGCATGGGTGTGGTGGGAGCGGGGAGGTAGGTAGATATCTGGGATGAGGAAGCAACTTCCAACCACAGTTCTTTGTGGCCGGCCACTGCTTCTGGCTGCTTGCTGAAATGAATGCCTTGTCACTGTAGGCTCTCTCTCTCTCTCTCTCTCTCTCTCTCTCTGTCTGTCTCTCTGTCTCTCTGTCTCTCTCTCTGTGTGTGTGTTTCCAAGATGGTTAGTTTTAGAGGCAGTAGTTGTATCCTAATACTGATGTTTGTGTAGTCTTTATCTCGCTGAGCTAGGTGACCTTACTTAAGTTACATTGTGGACATTATTTTTGCTAGCCTTATTGGTGCCCCAGAGAGGAAAACAGGCATGCTTTGCTAAAGTTTACATTTTAATATTCTTGAAATGTCAGATAGCTATGTAGACTAATCCACTGTTACAGCCATACATGACACATGGATCACCATACCCAACTGCAGGAATTCTGAGTATGTTCTTGTATATCACAGCCCGGCGCTGTTACTTATCCTGTTCGTTTGTTTTTTTGGGAGAATTTAACATAACCTATACACCATATCAGTAAATGGATCATCAGTCACGTATTTGAATCTTAGTTTAACTCAGTTACTAATAACTTACTACCAGGGCTGAAACTATACATTCTTCCTCTTACTAATAAGCTGCTAACGTTCCTTTAGTCCTTTCTATTGAGTTTAGAGTGAGATGCATTTCAGGTACTTAAATTGGTGTGTTAAAAGTTTAAAAATAGTTTGAGCGGCTATTCTGAGGTTGTCTGTATGAGAAATGTACTTAGGATTAGTACTGGCAAATAAAGCTAAAACATGGAAGAGAAAGGAATTGCTTTCCTGCTATTATGTTTTTAACTGTGCAGAGAGTAATCATTTCAGAAACATTAAGTTACATAAGGACAGCAAAGCTATTCAGCTGCCAGACAGTTACATATTGCGCTCACTCTCTGATCTCTGCTGGGTATATTTTGCCATTTCTCTGGTTTCTCCCCGGCTCAGCCATGGATGGCTAGCTCATCATTCAGACTTTGACGTAGCTGGAGAATTTCACGGGAAAGCTGATCTATCTCATGTTCGCAGTGCGGTACTTTCAGCCTAGTGGAAGGTGGAAGGTGCATTCTTTGCTGTCGCCTCTGTGAAATGTATTAAAGAGATCAGAAAAGCCTGCTGAGGTGCACAGCTCAGCAGCCAAGCACCTGCCTAGCATATGTGAGGCCTGGGCTTGACTCCAGCACCACACACAGAATAAGAAATGTAAGGGAAGCCTGTTTGCCCTGCTGTACTGTTTATAGAGGTTCCCGCTAGACACTCTCATCTTTTCATCCCTAATACCTGCAAAGCACAATGGTGGTGCACACTTAGCGACACTCTGAACAGGACTGACTTAGGCTTCCTGAAATGCTAGCCTGTCTGGTTTGACTGGGACGTAAGGGGCTCCTGTGGACGCCTGTCTAGTGAGTGAGTAGATTAATGAATTTGCAGCACCTACGGCATCACATGTTCAAAGCCAGTTCAGTCACCCTTCTAGGGCCTGGAGCCTCCTTATCTGCTTGAATCTGATGGTTGCTTTCACTGTGGTAGAGGTTGAGTTACTGTTGAGTCACTGTATTGCGATTTGTGTGATTGCACAGCCGGGTGCCGATGGATGGATGGATGGATGGATGGATGGATGGATGGATGGATGGATGGATGGATGACAGGGAATGGAGAACTGAAGCATGAGCCCTGTCCTGGGCCCACGGCTGACCCGTGTGTCCCCTCCCTTTTGTTTTGAAGAATCATGTGTCTGTGGCTAAGGAAGCTGGGGTAGGTCTGGCTTTGGCATCTGAGGGGTGGAGAAGGAGGCCTGGTCAGGACACCCCAGCACGTGGATCTCTATGCTTCTCTGCGGTTTGTGTCGTGAAGAATGGCTTTACTCGGTCTGCACTTGAGTGCTGGATCCTTCATGGGTTTGCCAATCCGTTTTGGTTTCTCTCTCTCCCCCTCTACCCCCAATTACCAGAATCTTTTGTTTTCTGATACCCTGTTATAAAACCTCTGCTTTTATTATTACATTGTTTCACTATGTTTGGGCAACCAGAGATGAAGAAATAAGTGGTTTTGGCTGGGTGACTTGAAAGCTAAACATTGCTGCACCTATTAGAGTATTCTCACTTGCTGTCGCTTACTTTCAACTTTCTGTGACTTTTAGGACCATCTGTCACCATCTTTAAATGTCACTCACTTGATTGTGAGTTCCCCTAACACTCATCGCTTTCTACTGCTGTGTCTTCTTTTAAAGTTAACCATGTCTGTATGTGTAAATCACTGGGCAGAAGTGGATTGCAAACTTAATTGTACACTGCTTATTCTTAAATTTTGGGTTGCCAGCCTAGACTTTAACTGCTGAGCCCTCTCTCCAGCCCTCACTGCTTATTCTAAAGATCTATAAATGGTTCTTCATTGTCTTTAAGAAAATCTGACTCCGTGAGCCACCCTTTCAAGTTTTGTTGTGACCCCTGCCTCTTCCTATAGTACTCTACCAGCTCTTCTCCCTGGGCCTCTTCTAGCCTCTCCACTGTGGAGATCCTGTGCTGCTCACCATCCTCTTCTCCCTCTGACCTTTTTTATAAGCACACTTGTGCATGTCAGCTCTCCAGTATCTTAATGAAGTAGATGAGATTGCCGCTCTGAAGACAGGAAAGAAACAGAGAGGGTCTTGTTCTAGTGCAGTTTTCATGCTGAAATCGATAATTTGGTACTTATTGGGTTATTTGAGAGCTGCTTAAAGAGTTTTGTGTTTGTTTGCTTATTACTATTTTTTTATTATTTAATTCCCACAGATTGAAGCTTTACTGGCTTCATAGCAGATTTTGCTAAAGTAAACGCTCTTAGGTTCCAAGTAAGACCGGGGACGCTTGGGTTTCTGAATGGGGAAGTCAGCTGCTGCTGAAAACTGGAGCAATCTAAGCCCACATTTGTGGGACAATGGGACTTTGTCTCTCCTCTGTAGCCTTGAGTCACATTCTCCTCTCTACGTCTGTATCTGAGCAGGTTTGGATGCAGGCAGCATTGTGAGTTGTAGCAAGATTGTAAATGGCGAGCAGACAGCTGTTCACAGAGCAGGCCTCGTCTCCACACAGCACCCCACGATATGTCTGCATGGTTGGGTGACTAGGTGTGGGCTGCTCCTCTAAGAAGCACGACGTCTTTATAGCAGTGTTACAGAAAATAGTACGCAGCTGTAGTATTGTCTAAGTATCCCTTGAGAACTTCAAAACTAAGCATTTCTCATGAAATACAACAAAGGTATAAGCAAATACAGAAGACGCATAAGTGAGCAGTAAAATGCATAAGTATTCACAAATCACAGAGGAAAGTAAGCATACCCCCATCGCATACCGTAACCATCACCCCGGACGAGAGCTTCACTCTCTGCTTCCACACCCACCTCATCCTCTGCCCTTCCCCAGTCAGGCAGGCTTCCATGACTACAGGTATCTTACACACGTGTCTGTGGGTCATAAACCTACACGAGTCATCAGGGTAGATCCGCCTACTGACTTCCTGGGCGCTGCCTGGCCGTCTCCCAGAGTGGTTATGGCGGTCTGCTTTGGTATCAGTCGTATGTCACTGCTTTCGTTTGAAGTATCTGCAGGGTTTCTTAAGAAGTCTTCGTAAGGGCCCATGGGATTAATTCCCTTTGACCCCTTCTTTTTTGTTTTGTTTGTTAGTTTTTCAAGACAGGGTTTCTCTTTAGCCCTGGCTGTCCTGGAACTCGCTCTGTAGACCAGGCTGGCTTTGAACTTGAGATCTGCCTGCCTCTGCCTCCCGAGTCCTGGGCCTAAAGGTGTGCAGTGCCACAGCCCAGCAACGCTGCTCTTCCTTTTTGTTTGTTTGTTTTTGATTGTTGGGTTTTTCAGAAGCCATCTAAACAGCCCCTCTTGGTGATCTGGTTTTTTTTCTGTGCCCATCCTTTCTTTTCTTCCACAGATTTTTTTTTTTTTTTTCTTTTAAAGATAGTCATGATAGTACAGTCTGAATTTAAAGGTAGGAGAGCATGGGCCTCCAGAGGACCTAATTCATGAGTAGAAAGCCCTCTCACGCCACACCTACCCATAGGCTGCTTGTTGAAAGAAGGCAGGCCAGGAAGCCTGTGACCCGCAATATTCCCTTAGTGTGAGTCTGCAGACTGAAAATCTCCTGGGTGGTGAGAGGGCCAGGTTCAGTTACGTAGTGAGTTCAAGATGGCGTCAGAGAGGCGCGTGGAGAGGGGTGGGATTGTCTGCGGATGGGCACTCAGTCTCACGTGTTGTTGGTCGTGGTCGCCAAGTGTCAGTGTTTTTCTTTAAAGTGTACTTTCAAATGAGCGCTTTGATGTCGGGCTGGCCTCCTCTCATGCAAGGGAGACTTTCTAACTGAGAACGTGCTTTAATCAGATTGCAGCTGGATCTGCCGCTTGCCTCCTGAGGTGGCCACTTTAATTCTGTCATCCTAAGTTGCAGGAAAGGGGGATTGAAAAGTACATGTTTGTCATCAAGCATATAGTAGTATGAGTACCTGTGGGCAAGGTTACAAGAAGTCTTCTTTTCCTTCTGGTGGCTTTGTTTTGGGTTGGTTGATTTTTGTCTGTTTGGAGTTTTGTAGCCCAAGCCAGTCTGAACTCGTGGCAATCCTCCTGCCTTGGCCTCTCGAGTATTGTGATAACAAACTTGTACCACCATGCCAGGTCTAAAACTAGTTCACGATTGGAGTGGGTCCTCGGTCCTTCTGCACCGTAGTGACTTTGCTATTCTGTGCTGTGTCTGAGGTGAGGTGTGTCTCTGATGTTCACAAATGCCGGACCCCCCCCCCCCCCCAGCCCGTGCAGTGAATGGGCAGGCGCTCTCATTGTCTTACAGTGAGTCACGCTATCCCGAGGGTTAGCGCGTTCATGAGGGGAGGTGTTGTGGGCCCGGCTTCTGGTGCCCTCGTTGCTGCTGCTCACTAGCTCTGGGAGCTCTTGCCTTTGTGTCCTCCTTGCTCCGTTTGCGTTCTTGCTCTTTGTTTTTAGAGATGCTGTAACTACAAAAGAGAGTATTCTTCATAAATGCAGATTTCTTCTCAGGCTGAAGTATTGGTGGTTCACTGTTACTGCCTTGTTAATCAGAGATGCTTTAGGACACTTGTCAGTTAACACCTATAATACCCAGGCAAACTTAAGCAGGTGCTTTGCTCAGTAAACAGCATGAGCATCCTGGAAAAAATTATCATGTCATTTAAACACTTTCAGAGTGTTTAACAAACTAGGACATGGGGGCTCTCTGAATAGAATTTTAGTGTCATGGGAACTAGACTCTGATGTCAACAGATAGGACTATATGAATTTAAAAAACATTTGCATAGCAAAGGAAACTATCAGCTGAGCACACAGACAGCCCAAGTATGGGAGACAAGCTTTGCTAGCTTATACTTTAGGCAGGGGCTAATGCCGAGAATTTACCAAGAAATGCAGAAATTAAACACCAAAGCAATTCAGCTTGCAGCCAGCACATGGGCTAATGAAAAAAGCAGTTCTCAAAAGAAGCAGCGCAGGCGCCCAGTGGTGACTTTCAAACCTGTCCATATCCCCGGCACCAGAGAAGTGCAGATTAAAATGGCCTTCTGGTGCTACCTCACCCTAGTCACACTAGCTGTCATCAAGAAATCTGGCAGTGAATACTGAAGGGGATGTGGGAAAGATAGGCCCTTATTTGTTGCTGCTTGGGGACAAATTAGTATGACCATTAAGGAAATCAGTTTGGAAGGACCTCAAAACCCTAAAGGTAGAACTACTTGATGATCCAGCCGTCTCCTCCCTCCCCCCTCCCCCCCCCCGAGCTCTTACCTACCACAGAGATGTTTGAACATCCCTGTTTATTGCTGCTTTGGTCAGCTGTCTGAAAGGAAATGGAACCAGCCTAGATGCCCTTCAAGAGAGGAATGGAGAATGAAATGTGGTTCTTGTATGCCGTGGAATATTATTCAGCTATAGACAAAAATTAAATTGTGAAATTTAAAGGAGAATGGATGGAAAAATAATATTAATCTGGATGACACAAATTCAGAAAACAGCCTCATGTTCTCTTTCAGACACAAGTGTGGGTATAGTGTACCAGTTAGAAAGGAACCCGAGAGAAGCTAATGTTAGGTGATGAGGAAAGAGAATGCAGGCAATGAGCCGTGCGAATTCTTTCTTCTAGCTTGACCTCCATCATAGTTTCTTTGTTTTATTTTGTTTTTCTTGTCTTTCTGTGGTATAAGTGTATAAAAATTCAATGGATAGCAAATGTGTAAAACCCTAAGTGATGCTTCATGGCTTCAAAATGGCCATTCTAATGGCAGGGGTTCACGGAGATCTGTGGTTTGGAACTGGACACGTGTTGGAATGGTTTCACTAATCTAGCTATGCTATATCTTACTTGCGTTAAGTAAAATATGGTCACTTTTCTTTCTACAGTTTGTGAATAAAATAGAACAACAGGCTGATCTGATGCATTATCATTTTCAGGCTAAATAAACTTGAAGATACCATTGTATTAATTAAAGGGAAGATTGAAGAAGTGAGTCTTCCTGTAGAAAAGGTGGATGTTATTATATCAGAGTGGATGGTAAGTAAAGTTTAAGTTTTTTCTTTTAGATGAGCATGGTAGCAGTTTTGACTCGTTATACTTGGTGACGATGGTGGCAGCTGTTTCAGATAGTGCTGACTTTGTGACCCTGTAGACACAGCAGGCATGATCTTCTGCTTTCTAGGTTTGTAGGGACAGCTCCAGGCGCTGAGAAGGATGGGCTAGGGCTGTGCCTTCCGAGTGCCTCCATCCTACTCTCTGTGATCCTGTGTCCTGTCCCGTCCCCCCCCTCCGCCCCTCCACGCTTCAGGGGCCTTTCCTACACTGTGGCATTCATTACAGATTATGTTAACATCTTGAGTCAAGGCAGAACATTCAAGTGTATAATCAAACAATGATATTTATAATGGATAGGAATTACTGATACCACTTGACGTCTTTTCAGTGACAAATTTCGTGTGTGGAAATTTTAAGATTTTAAAAAAGTTCTGTATGATAAACTATATTTTCATGTAGTAAGTTTATTAAAAACAAGTTAAGCTGCAATTTTCTATATTTTTTTTTTATGAACATGGTGACAATCCAGCAAAATAGTAACTTTTGGGAGCTTTGAAGTATTAGGGTTTAATAGTCGGTGTTTAGTTTAGAGAGGGTGTCCTTAACGTTTGTATTTCCCTTTCTTCTTTATTTATGGCTCTTCAGGACATTGTAACTACTAATACTGAGAAAACATGGTTTCGGCTTGGTGCGTCGTTCTAAGAGGCAGGCCCAGCCTCCCTTATGCTGTTGGTTGCGTCTCCTTCCAGCTGGCCTTGCAGTTGTATTTATGATTTCCGTATAAGTACGAAGGCAGGTGGTGTATGGCAGGTTGAGGCTGTTGCTGGGAGTCAGACTGCCTGAGCTCTCAGCCTCCATTCATTCCCTCTGGTACACACGCCTCTCTGCCTCAGTTTCCTGCTTTGGAAAATGAAACAGTAGCACTCACTTCATGGGCTCTTGTGAGGATCAGATGAGCTGCTGCTTGCAGACGTCTCAAGATGGCTCTGGTGTGTCCCAGCTGTTTGGTTCTGGACAGTAGCACAGGCCAGTGAATGGGTTGCTAGACTGGGTTGTGAAGCATATTCGAGTGACTGACTGCCCAGATGTCTCCCCTGGACAGCAGGCCTGGCCCTGCAGAGACTCCAGGGTTCTTCCTGTTCTCTCTCTTTCCGGACATGGCATTCAGCGTCATCCTGAGTTTGTCTGTTCCTACCAACCTCTTTAAGTTCCGGAGAGCAGCTGTGACCCTGACTCACTGGGTGACGAGGGCAGTGGCACCTACAGTGTTTCCCATCCTCGCGGCTGACAGATCATGTTTAGACTCCATGAAAGGTTTAAGTGTTTGGTTATGAGCCACTATCCAGTGTTTACCAGCAAACCTTAGACACGTCTTTGACGCATCTGCTCTGTCACAGCCTCTGAGTGTCTGGTCTCCTGACAGGATCTTTTTCCAGACTGTAGTCCTGTCCTGGGTTAGATTACCCTCACGCCCTTCCTGATTGTTGGTGCTTTTGTCTTGCGCAGTGGTTGCTAAGCCGTTCCTCTGCTCACTTGTCTGGTTTTCAGCTTCTCATCTTGTTGCTTTACGTGCTCATCTTTGAATTCCATTCCTGTTTTATGATGAGTAATGTCCACGTGTTCTGCAAGTTGTGCTCGTTACCGGGCTGGAAACCACACCCCTTTACACCTCATCCTCTTGCATTTATTGTGTGGAATGATGGAAGGAACTGCCATGGAGTGTTGTGTAGCTGCTGTGCCTTGCTTTGCTTTTTCCCTACTTCTGCACACACATGGGCTCTGTGCAGGCTGCTCTGACTATCTGCTCCTTAATGAATCACACTTCCCTCCAAGCAACAGTGTGACAGTGGTGTCTTTCTAAGTCGGGGCACTCAAGGCTCATCTCCCTTTCCTTCCTTAAAGGTCTTTTAAATTTTGATTCCATCCAGAGATTTGAAAGATTAACCTAACAGTAACATATGCAGAATGTTGTGTCACGTCGAGAGGTAATAAATGGCTGTTGAGGATCTGATACTGGCCTGAGATAATTTGACCCTGGACCTGCAGCATTCCAGCCTTCCACATCCTTGGGAATTCAGTCAGCCTTTCTAGGTACAGATTCTTGGGCACTTTCGCTCACACAGCGGAACAAAGCCCCTTGTCAACTTGAAACACAGGAACTACACAAGGAATTCACCGTATTGACTTTGGCAGGATTATAGATTACTGGCTTTGGCTCACTTCTTCAAGCTACATCAAGCATTAAATTAGGGCTTTGCATTTCCCTGAGGCTGATTTGAAAGTCCTTCGAAGTGGGGTGGAGCGAGGAGGAAGTGTCTGGCCACGCAGGACCAAGCTGTTTGTTTGGCCAGTCTTGTTACGTGGGGCAGCTCTTCAGTCTTCTCCTGCGCTGTACCTCCTGCTTCTTCACGCGGCTCAGCAAATGCCGCTAGGATGGAAGCTTCCTGACACAGCTGGCACGATGCTCTTTTCTTATCATGTACGTGCAGTATTTGGAAGAGTGAGGTCTTTTTTTTAACTCTCCAATCATACTGCTAGTTATTTCCTATAGCCTTGAAATTTTATTTATTTAATTGTGTGAGTGTATGTGTGTGTGAGTTGTGTGTGTGTGTGTGTGTGTGTGTGTGTGTGTGTGAGTGTGTGTGTGTGTGTATGTATGTTATGGAATCACTCTTAATGTTTATGGGAAAATACTTGAGGCTGAGTAATTTATATATTGACAATAAAAATTTCCAAAACTCAGTTTGCAAAGCTGTAAGTCCAAAGTCAAGGTTCTGTGTCTCGTCAGAATCTAGTGTCAGCCGCCAAGTTAGGGCCCTTTTGCTGCGTACTCTAGAGGGGTGGGCACTGTCTTCACATAGACAAGGGCAGAAGGGGGCAAGCCCACTGCCGCACGGTTCAGTTACTTTGTGAAAATCTCCAGTTCTGTTCTTGTGAGAAGGGTTTCAGACAGTGCATAGCCCTGGCTGGCCCTGAACTCACTATGCTTCTGCTTTAGTCTAAGTGCTGGGATTATAGGCATACTCCCCTCCATCTCCCTCTTTATAGTCAAGCTTTAGTTAGCATATCAAATAAAGGGCGCTGTTATAACATATTCATATATGCATGTCATTGAGTGTCACTGGTAGTCTGCCACTGGCCTGCCTCCCCCTCCCTGCTGGTCCCTTGCCTTAACATGGCTCCCTCTGCTTTAACGACGTTTGTGCATATAAATGTGTATGAATCAAGTTGACTTCACGTGACAGAAAACGTGATTCTTGCCCTTCTTCCTGTTACCCTCTTAGCTTCCCTTTTTTAGGCTTCTTCATATTCCCCCATCTATTGTTCTATGTATCAATTTATTAAATACAAAGCTTGCATATGAGAGAAACTGTTTGCCTTTCTTATTTTACTTCATGACAGTACATTGTTAGTTCAGTTTTACTGCGTGGATTTGGGGAGACCAATTGGGATCATAGCGCACTCTGCTGTGTCTCTTTAATATGATGTCTTTACTAAAGGTGTGAGCTAATACTTTGGTTGTTCTCCTATGTGTGGCTACCTGTTTGTGGCGATGATTCCCCCGGTTGGACGTGGGGACTCTTGCTTTAGAAATGCATTGCATCCTTCAGCTGTGAGAGCTGAGTCTGGAGTAAGGGCACGTGAGTTCTGGTCTTGAGATAATGCTATTCCTTTTTAAATTTTCCTGAAACACTTGACACAATGCAAGGGGAAGGGTCTGTACTGACCAGGTCATAGTGCCATCTAGTGGAAGAAAGGCTTTTAAACTTTAGAGGAGGGGCCGCTTGCTCTCCAGAAGTCCATGGCACTAGAGTAAGCACTGTGTGGTCAGGGGTGGGCTGGAAGACTGAGGTGTTGCAAGACAGTGGCCAGCACAGACTAGAAGCCTAGCAGGAGCAGCCTTTGCTGATGTCCATGCTTATCCTCACACAGAAGGCGGCAATCAGATGACATCTAGGAAACAGTAACTCCTTTGACGAATGCTTATTTTATACATATGCCATTTTACTGCCTTTTGACTACATGCTAATGTAAAAATTAAACAGTCCATCCTTTATCTTTGCCCTGTTACTCAGGACCCATCCCCATCTTCCATCAGAGTCTGTGATTCCCTCTTGAAGTGAGTGCAGGTCACTGCGTGTTCATGTGCACTTACGTTACCAGACTTTTCAGTATTTATGTTGGAGTGTCATGTATATTCCTGCCATTTCCCATTTTATTTTGCTTTTGTTCTTGTGACAAGTTAGTAGAATGAAGTTCAGCAGACTGGAGAGTTCCGAGGAAGGACAGTCGCTGTTAACAGTTCAGACACCATCTTCACCCACCACTTTTTTTTTATTCTTCTCCCAGATTCCTGTGTATACTAGGCAAGTCCTTAACCTCTGAACCACACCCTCGGTCCTTTCCTTTAGCCTGTGTTTCTGTATTTAAGTGGACTTCTTCTATAGCAAATGCAGATGGTCCCTAACATAAGATATCCCAGGTTATGATTTGCCAGTGTTCTGTTTAAAATCCTTTTGTTGTTTGCCCAGAGTGGCATATCTGGGTCCTGTTGTGGATATGGTTTAGTTTTTGAGGCCCTCTGTACTGATTTGCATAGTGGCTTCACTAGACCACGCTCCTTCTGTTTGTGTAAGTGTGCCCTGTGTATGTGTCTCTCTCTGTGCCTTTTGATGAGGCCAAGTCCTTGTTCTTTTCCCCCAAGAAGGTGGAAGTATTTTTTCATAACCATTTTTTCCCCTCTTGGTCTTAAACCCACTCTTGGGCTCTCTGCGGGGCAGTTTGATCATACTGACCATAATGTTGAGTGTGTTTGTCCAGAAATTTTGGTAGACAAGTTGTGGCTCAGGTCCTGTAGCTGTGTTATGGGTTAGATCTTGTAGTCTTGTTATTGGGTGCAAACCATCTTCCCCCCACTCCATCTACATTATTTCAGATGGCTGTCAACAGTCTTTCTACAGAGTAACTTTATTTTTAACTGT